GAGTAATAATAATTGTACTTATAAAACTACGTATTTTTGATTGCACGGTTTCTTGTATCATTAAACGTCGTGTCGTTTTGCGTATTATTTGGCGTCCATATCTTATTTGGCCAGAGAAAAGAAAATTTGGCTTTGTTAATTGGTTTGTGCCCGCCACGATCTCATAAACTCTCAAATGTGCCCGTAGGCACAAAAAGGTTGGGGACCACTGCTCCAGGGTAATTTGATGATATAAGGTAACACGATTACACGAAGGAAAGCTAACTGGCTGGGACATATTATGAGAAGGAATGGATTAATGAGTGATATCACCGAAGACCAGGTTGAAGGAAAGAGAGGACTAGGAAGAAGATTGATACAGCTAACCGACGACCTTAAACAAGGAAAGAAGATGACGTTCCAGGAATTAAAGCGAGAAGCCGAGAATAGGGACAACTGGAGAGCTCTTTTTGGGCAGAGCAATGGACCTGTCGTAAGACAGAACACTTAATAATATAATAATAAGGTAACTTTTAAATGCACTGAAGATGTAGCAAGGTTTGCTCTGTCTCTTTCTCTCGCTCTCATTTTAATGATTGTCAACTACAGAAATCCTGTAAATACTCTACTGAAAATTGTATTTTCGTGATACTGGCAAGCAAATTTGTGACAGTTCGTGCAGCATGACTAGCTGTCATGAAATTGCTACAACCAATGTCTTCTGAAATTTAATATTTGTCATCTGACATGCAGGTCAGCGAAAATTAGTTTAAAAATGTTGATGTGGTTTACAAACGAGTGATTATTAATTTTTGCGTTTCCTTCTTAAAAGTCACGGACAGATTACATATGCATGTGGTTTTTCTTCACAAAAGTACAGTACTTAGATTAAACTATCACAATGTCGTAAGAGAACACTAAAAATCATATGAAATTGTTAAATTCTCTTATATGTACTTCTGAATATGCTTTAGCATTTCATGGTTATAATCCCAATAAGAAGAAGACATTCATGACATTAAGCATCGTTCTTATTAAAGACGAAAGTTTTACACAAAACATTCTTCAGTTCTTTCAATGGATCAAAACTGAAAGCTGTTAATTTACCATAATTTAATGTTTACTGTCACTCAGACTACAACATACACAAGCTGCTTCTGAAATACCTTATTGCCGAGTGATGGGACATGGACAACGGTCAGCGGCCGGGCTGGGTCATGAGTATCTACTTGCACTGTCAGCCGATATCCCAGCTCTGACTTTGGATCCTTACAAGTTAATTCCCTGAAATGGAAAGTACAAATAGATTTTTATTAAAGTGGAACACGAAGTCAAATGCGAACAAAAGGCATGGACATCCATAGTGTTCAAAGGGAAATAAAAAAGGTTAATAGTACTTTTCAATTTTTGTACTATCCACGTTACAACAGAACTAATAAATATTTTATTATCACCTCCAATATGATATAGACAGGCATTTCCCTGGAGTATACTCATCGACATGGATGTGATCATCCAAACGATCTCTGCACAGACGAAGTGTCTGCGAATACAGCACCTGCACACAAGAAGAGTCAAAGTTTCACTGGATGCTCTTTCAACTATTATAAACCAAAACCAAATATAACAACAAGGCATAATTAAGGGGCACTTTCAGAAACAAACAAGTAAACAATAACTGATATACCACACACAACAAAAGCAAGAATGTATAAATCAGTACTTTATAAACAACGATTCTAAGGTTACTTAATGCCTCTGCTTCAAATCCAGAGGTTATATAATATCAGTAATGGCTGCCTCCTTCCACATCCTTTACAATTCAACATCACTATCATCTCTGCTCTCATCCTTTGGGAAGCTGCGAAACAAAACATAGGACGTTTCGTTTCCCAGCTGCCCTGAGGAGAGCAGAGAAGGCTCTCGAAACGTTGGCGGAAGAAATGGTTCATTCACCATTCAGCGACCTGAAGCGGCTTGTTGCCCGAGAGTCTTTCATCAACTTCGTTTGCCGCGAAAGCTTCACTTTATACACAAATATTGTTTTATAAGTCCATCATTTCAGTAATTTTGTGGTGGCTGTTGCGTTCCCTTCTAATACTCTCATTTCTGTGGTAAGGCATTTATGAGACTTGCGGACCAACTGTTTCAGCCAGTCTCTGGTTTCATCCAACTTTTCTTCTGCTAACACTAAACACTAACATTTTGGTTTCCTACTATCACACCTGTTGTTCTAACTTGACTGACAACCTCATAAATAGTTTATAAATAGTTGGGAACTGAAATCCATTACAACTTCCATCTGAACTTACACGTCACAAAGGATTCACATGAAACTCCAAATGTTGTACAAGTGTAAACCTATCCACATCCTACACAAAGCGTAATTCAAACACCGAGTCATACATGAATGTCGCAAGGTAACATAATACATCTTCTTATCATCGCTGCTGACCGGCAGTGACTCACGGCAACCAATGCAATGAGCACACATAACGGAGTTGTACCCTGAGTTAGTCATCAAAGATCTCTGTACACCGTGTTTCAAAAGTAGCTTTACAACTTCGCAGGAAAATATAAATTTATTTAAAAGACGTGCGCAATATTTTTAAATGCACAAATTTAACCAAACAGGATAGCAGGTTATTATTACTTTAGTGTTCTGTCTGACGACAGGTCCATATGAACAGGATCCTTCCATCCTTTTCTCGGACTGGGACCTGTTCATATACGTTCTTGGCAGATGATCCAGAAGTGGGTTGCCATTGCCTTCTTCTGTGTGTGAAGGGAGTAATTGTTGGGATGCCACGGAAGAAAACTCCGTGTTGCCTAGACCACCTCATCTTATTATTATTTAGTGTTCTGTACCACGATCTTGCCCAACACAAGTTATAAATTCGGGCACCGCCGGGAATCGAACCCAAGACCCCAGGATTACAAGGCCAGCGTTCTAACCGCTAGACCACCGTGGCCATCGATAGCAGGTTGCTGGAATTTAAATCACATATCCCAAATAAGGAACATATTATTCACTGAATAAGGAGGGGGGGGGGGGTAATTTTGAAACCTTCGTTTACCGCACCGTACTCATCAATAGACAAAGGTACGCTTAAATTTCATCTGCTTCCAAATTCATACCTCCAGTTGAAGACTCTGACAGAAAAAGTGCAGACAATTGTAGACTTCAGTAAGAGGCTGAGGATTATCAACCAGCCTTGATTGGATTACTTGATGGATGTACTGCACCTGAAGAGAATGAACCAATGCTTTACCATCTGAAAGAAAAAATACAGGAAATTTCTTAACTCTTGTACACATTATTCTACCACATCCCTTTGCAAAGACCCAAGTTCAAGTTCAAACAAAACCACTGAAAATCTAATTGAGTCTATACAGAAATTAAATAGATTTTTTCCTTCTTAGTCATCTTATTTCGAGTCATTCAACAAATGTATCAAATCCAGAGACAGAAGTTTCATAAATATGCTGTGCCCTAACCCCTACGATATGTACAAACCTGAAAGTAAAATTGTTTTCGAAGCAAACGAAAAGACACGGCAAATCAGGGGTGAGCATGACAAGCTGAATACGGAGATGACGTGGTAGGCATTCAGCACGCAAACAACGGTAAAGGCGAAAGAAACAATTACAGAAATTAAACAGATGAAGAGTGAAAACGGTAAAAGGACTGGAGATAAAACAAAAAAGTTAAGAGCCCCCTCTGCACTCTCCCATCTGAACGCGACACAACCTACCTCAGCGGAGTGGCTATTAACACAGTATAATAAGACAACATCTACATTCTTTCCTTTCGGCTAGGTATCAGTTAAATTCTTTTAAGACTCTAGACGTTTATAGAAAGTACAGAACTTAAAACTGCAGCCTTGTAAAATTTTAGTTTTTAACTGCAACCCTACTATTCTAGATGCGCAATAGTTAGGTAGCCTTCAACTTAGAAACTACTACGGAATCCAGAAACATTCAATCCTCCCTTTCATAACCACTCCGTAAAACATGTTAATTACTTCCTATTACCCAATCTAATATAAATTTGTCTCGTGTGGCTGTGTATTATAATGATGAGTTTTCATAAACAGGGTATTCAACAAGAATGACCCTACGAGGATCTCCATTTGAGACAACTCCCAGGTTCATTAACTAACACAAACTATCTTGTCATGTGAAGTCAAAGACTCCATAAAAGGGTGTGTCCTACATAGTTCAATATTTTTATTTATGGTTGAACATTACGTGTTTTACTTTGTAAGTAAATGCACGTAGAAAAATTCAAGCAAATATTAGACAAAATAAATATCATACCACCAGTTTCTTTATCTTCAACAAGAATATCAATATCCAACAATCTCCATGGAATATTTGGTCCATCACCCATTACAGTAAGAGAAACTTCAAATTCGTGTTCCACAGTAAATGTGACTCGACCACTCTCGATCTAATGAAAAATAAAATTATATTTATCAAAATATAACTACATAGACAAAGTAGTCATCTTCATGAAATGGCTTCCTACAGAATCCAGTACATGCTCTCCCAAATCACAAACACATAAAATCATAGTCTACAAATTACATACATACACCGTGTTTCAAAAGTAGCTTTACAACTTCGCAGGAGAATATAAATTTATTTAAAAGACGTGCGCATTATTTTTAAATGCACAAATTCAGCCAAACACATCAAGTTTCATGCACATAAACTGTAGTACCGAAAAGGTAATGTGTTTTGCGCCCCCAGCAAAGATAAATTGTACGGCCCCTTCTTTTTCACGGAGAAGGCCATTACCGGCATTGTGTATCTGGACATGCTCCAACAGTTCCTCATTCCTCAACTTCACGAAGATGACCGGGAAGGACGCGTTCACTTCCGGCAAGACGGTGCGCCCCATCATTACCTCGGAGAAGTACGAGTACCTCAACAACCGTTTCCCAGGTCGGTGGATTGGTCGGGCCGCACAAATAGCACGGCCACCTCGTTCCCCAGATCAAACACCTTTAGATTTTTTCTTGTGGGGATTTGTTAAAGATCGAGTGTACGTGCGTCCGAAATTATGTGTTTCTCCCATAAGTTCACCAATATCTCGCTCTCAGGTTGTAAAGCTACTTTTGAAACATGCTGTATTTACTCTTACCAACCATAAACATACATACTGCTATCAGTAAAAATTCCATAACAATAACACATTTGCTGCAATGGAACATAACTGCTTCTTACCTCTCTTGCACATCGCACTGTAACTAAACCTCAATCCCAATTGACAGAATTTAATATAAGATTTGAATAATGATGACGTGCCACGTCTGTTCACTTGTAGTTGTATATTTTAAAGAAAAATTTAAATATTGAGAATACATTTATAATCTGCTCTAAATCCACATACTTTACGCTCTAAATATTTACTTTAAACTTCATGGTATAATAATTCTTTTCTATTTTATGCTAAAACAGTAACAAATATTACTGATTTATGCCTTCTTTCATTTAGAAGTAGCTGTTTCATTAATACTAACATAAACCACCAAATTACAGTGTTCATAATTGAATGCTTTGGTGGCGTTTAGTTACCTTCAAGTTCCTCATCTGTGGAAGAAGATTTCCCGTTACAAGACGATGTTGTATCACTTGGTTCAGTCGCAATAACGTCGATCTTCTCTCTGAAGGAGTTATGGGATCTGGAGGTACTATACGTTCCTTTAACAGCAATAAATACACACTAAAACCCATACAGTATGTGTAAAACAAATAATATATTTACCTTGTACTGCGTATTCAATAAATTTTTCCATAAAAGCAAACGTACTATCTCAAAAGTAATCACATGTACCACAAATTAATTATAGTTCCATTATCTGATGACTTAAAACCTGAATGTGAAAATATTTTGTAAAATATTTTAAGACCATGAGAAGGATGAGAGGGAGACCATGGAAACGATGGATAGATGACGTGGAGGAGGATGTGAAGACGATGGGACAGAGGGGATGGAGAAGAATTGTGAATGATAGGGCAGAATGGAAAAAAATTGGTCGAACAAGCTAAGACCCACATAGGATTATAACGCTACAAGAATAAGAAGAAGATTTTAAGACCACATATTAATTTAAATACCAGATTTGAAATTCTGAAAGCCCCTCATGTATACTGTGCAACCAAAACACACTAATGACTCGAAGTGTATGAAGATCTGATTCACTTGAGCAAGTTCCACAGCAGAATTTTTCTAGAATTTATTGCAACACATTTTTGTTCTTATTTGTTTCATTTATTCAATTAAGTTTGTTGTTATTCTTCTTCTCTTTTACCTTTATGTAACTAGCAAATAATAACTTGTAATCAAGAGTTCACTGAATGGAAATAAAAGGTTCTTACTGATGATTTAATGGATATAACTTTCAAAGACAGTTTATAATGATCTTGTATATTTAATTTAAATAAATGTATTTTGCTCAACATAACTTTGAAAGGCAGTCTGTAATAATCCTCTACATATAATTTAAAACAACTTACCCTAATGCATGCAGGAAGTCTACAATATGTACCAGTTGTAAGAACCTCAACTGCTGCAGGGATGTGGAAATTTGGCAACCGTGCATGAACAAGGGTTTCCCTTGCCATTCGAGCCAACATATCTGCCGTGTCCACAAACAACAGAGACTGTTTGTCCAGAAATCCCATTATGTGCTGAAATAACAAACAAAATTGGCCACTGCTTTATGTCAGTGACGGACATCTGTGTGGCTTCAATCAAGAAATAATTCTGCTGCTAGGTAATACAATTCCCTTTCCATAAAATGTTATCAAAGATCATCCAACCAAAACTTTCAGTCTCACGTCACGTGACTAGTACATACAGAAGCCCCCGGAGGAAAACTCTGTGTTGCCTAGACCACGGCCTTGCCCAACACAAGTTATAAATTCTGGCACCGCCGGGAATCGAACCCGAGACCCCACGATTACAAGGCCAGCGTTCTAACCACTAGACCACCGTGGCATATAAATATATAAGATAATATAATACAAGATGAGAATTGGAGCACTTACTAAAATATGAACTCTAAATCATAAAGCACTCAATAAAACTAATTTTGAGTGTTTGCATATGTCTAGGAAAATTAATGGCAGGGTTCCAGCGCAAAAATTCCTTCAATGCCTACAAGGCACATAAAATAATTTAGTTTCATCTTTTACAAAGCAGGAAAATGTTATCATTTCTTGCATTTTTTGGAATTCACTCCATGTGATCTCCTCACTCTGTATTTATCTTCACTTCCTTGCTCTAGTATTTTCTGAATATATTATCAAGATAATGCAGGAAACATAAATTAAATCAATATAAGAAAATTAAAAATTAAAAATTAGTAATTGAATTAAGAGTTTACAACATACACCTGATGACGGCTCTATGAAAGCCGAAACATGTCGAGAATGTTCCATATGTAAATCGAGTACTCGATACGGAACAAAAGATAATATTTTAACCATCTAATTATCTTATATTACTTTATTGTGATTGACGGACAATTTTTAATACATTTTAATACTATTTTAAATAAAATCACAATATGACGCACCTACAATATCTTATAAGAAACAAATAATCTACACGTTCTAGGAATTATCACTTCTCACTTGACCAACTGTCGCTCTAAAGCTGTCTTAGTGTCAAATGTTTCCTTAAAATACATAAAAGGAGATTTAAAAATATCTATTTGTAAGGCAAAATGTTAAGTCTCACATCGAAGTGCCTCCTATCCAATGGGTACCGGGGTCCTTTCCCGGGGGTAATGTGCGGCTGGGGCGTGATGCTGACAACTCACCCCCCCCATCTAGTGCCGAGGTAAAGAACGAGTAGGAGCTATACCTCCCCCCCCCCAAAGTGCCTACATGGTGCATAGTGGGACAGCTTTACATACTCATATCAACAATGTAAATAAATGGTTTAATTAAATGTCCTCTGCACCGTCCATATCAAACCAAAACTGTCATGAAAAATAATGGTCCAAACTCAATATATACAGTACTTACTGTTGATCTCTCCACTTTTGTAATACTGCTGGCCCATTTAACTAGAGCTAACAACCTCACAAACAACTGACGTGTCCTTGCTGAAAAATTATAGATTTCAATCTTACGTTCCATATCAGTCTTCCTAGGAAGGCTGAAAAATAAAAAAGAACATGTTAAATACCACATACTTACAAGAGCATGTATACGTATTTTATACAAATAAAATATTTGATTTTTCATTTCCACTAATAACCACATGGAAAGAACCAGCATAACAAAGTACGGATCAGCTAGGCACACATCACTTTATTAATAATCAATTTCTCAACCACTTCCATACACATCCTCTATGTGCATGCACAGTGTTATGTAAATCAATAGTATCTTTGATAAAAGAAAACAGTAGAGTATAACAAGTTATGCGTGCACGTGCGCGCGCACACACAGAAATATAATTACATTAAAATTAAAATTAAATCCGTGGCGTAACAGCTCCAGAGAGCCAAAGCCGACTAGCTGGCTACTGGCCTCACATTCACATGCCTAAGCAGAGGTGAACGATCATCCAACCAGATATAGGATGACGTGTGGTCAGCACGACGAACCCCCAGCCATTGCTAGTTTTCCTGACCGGATTACGCTACCCATTGTAGCTCCCCAATTTCCTCACGATGCTGGGTTGGCACCGGTCCCATACACTGGTCGAAATCTCGTTAGAAAATTTCTTCTCCCCCGAGACCCAAACCAGCGCGCATTCTGTATCACCGGTCCGAAGCATGATGCCTCAGACCGTGCGGCTACGGCGCGGGACAATATAATTACATACAAATGCTAATAAAAAAGTGCATGTGGCCAACTTCTGTTAGCAACGACTCATACTCCAGCAGGTCATAAACAATCAATCTCAATGTAAATCATGGTAAGGAAGAACCCATTCAGAAGATTTAGAAGAAGACTGGAGAATACTAAAACTGATTCCAGGGAATTCAGTTTGGGAGTGTGGATTGGATTCATCTGGCTCAGGATAGGGACCAGTGGTGGGATGTTGTAAAGAAAAGTAACGAACCTCAGAGTTCCACAAAGGATGGAGAATTTCTTAACTAGCTGAGTGAACTATAGCTTCTCAAAACACACTCTGCTCCATGGATTCATGGTAAAAGAGAATTCATGATGCAAAAAATGTTCATTCCATGAAACAGATCATATGACAAGACCTAACTGTTTATAACGTCAAGAAAATGGATCAGGCATATCACAAAAACATTCACCTTTATCAAAAAAGTATATGTCCATGTTAATTTAAATGCAATATTATGTGTTCTTACAGTGAAGTGAATTAATATTACATTTATTCTACAAGGTCAGATACTGAATCAAGATTTTGTTTGTTCTAAAACATCTATGATACAAATTTGTATAGATATGGGTTGAAAAATGGGAGTCAAGTTTATGGATCATGTTAAATGCAATACCCACAGTATCCCACTCATTCTCGACAGAGATTTGCTCTCCTCTGTTCAGAGACCAAAGTGCAAGAGGATTCAAGGGCTACTATCCACCATTTTAAAAATATATATGGGGATTATGTGCTGTCAAAATGGAAAGCTTAAACAAATGACAGATCATTGAAATCACAATATCCAATCAAGGAATTCTTTGAAGTGAACAAATTTATTCAGTGATGTCCTTTCAGCAATTGCACAATTTTGTGAGGTGGATGAGAATAACACTAACGCCACTAAGGACATCGATCTTTAAAAAATACACCTCTCTGGCACAGTAATTCTGTGTACAATGTGAAATAACAACATGGCTGCTACATGAAACAACATGAAATGTTGACTCATTTAGGATATGAACCCATGACCATATGTATGAGTCCAATATACCACCATGGATCAAACTTGCATTGTGTTAAATGATAATGAATTTGCATTGCTTAATGAAGATTTCAATAACACATGAACTGAAAAGTTAGAAATGAAGAAGCATGTCTAAATGATATTTATAAATTCAGTTCTTTTCTCAAATAAATCACATTTGTCAATTATAAAGATCAACTGGTTAACAATGTTTATGAAAATAATCGTTTGTTCCGAGAATCACTTTTTCGGGGGAGCTTGATCAAGTGTTTAAAAAGCAACCAACCCCCTTTCGGGGGGGTTGGTTGCGTTTTAAAATCTTGAGTAAGACACTAAACTCGGCATTGTTGTGTTGTACTCGGCATTGTCGTGTTCCACAACAATGCCGAGTTTGTTTATACTCAGCATTGTTGATGACGTAATTTATTAACGACAACGAGGAATCACAAATTTTTATATATAAAAAATATAGAAGATAAATCACATTTGTCAATTATAAAGATCAACTGGTTAACAATGTTTATGAAAATAATCGTTTGTTCCGAGAATCACTTGAAACCCATAAATACACTGAGTGGTAAAAGAAAATAAATAGGTAAGAGTTAGTGTATAAATCTTAGGTTCAAAAGTACATTATCTACAATCTATTGCTATGTTAAATACGGATGATACTTATGGTAGTGCTTGCACAGAATTTGTGCAATACAATGTACCCTTTTATGTCAGCAAGAAGCATTCAGAATGAAAAGGTGGCAAGAAACTAGTCTTGTTACAACTACACACAGTGTATTTACTCACAGTTCTGCCAAAACTGTCAGCTCATGATACGTCCGTTGAATGATGAAGTCAATAAGCACTGTAAGTGATATTGTGCCACCTCTAGACCCTTCCTGAGGAACATTATTTCCAGCAGGAGTCTGATGTCCTTCCAGCGGAACAGGAGCCATCCCTATTGCTTGTTTAATTCTTGAACAGGAGAATGTTTAATGTCAGACTTAGTTTTGTTTTATACTATCAGAACAAAGCATATACATTTTGTTCAGATAAAAACCTGGAATAACTCAGAAAATAAAGAATGATTAGGCTACAGGATGGATAACAAAGGCAAAATTTTTGTACAGCACGATTTTTCTCTTTACCACAACATCCAGACTAACTGTTGGGCCCACCCAGCCTCTAACCAATGGACACAAGGGTTCATGCCTCAGCTAAAAAATGACCAATATATGAAGTTAACCACTCACTTCAATCTAATGCTAATGTTAAGAATGGAGGCAGCACTTTCTCATAGTGGTGCTTAGTTAAACATGAGGGGCAAGAGCTTTTGCCTTTACAGATCAGATGAACTGTTCACAATCTAGGTTAAAAATAAATAAAAACACTGAAATACTGGCCTCACAAATTATACAATTTTCTGACGAAATGCATTATCATCATTCCCAGTATTATGCCTAGCTCACCTTAAACAACATACATTACGAAATAAAATTCTTCTTATCTTTTCCTTCCTATGGGCTGGGGAACCCAATCCAATCAGAGCTCCTTCCTTCAACACGTTCTTTATGGGTGCTTCTTTTTATTTTTATTATTAATTTTGTATGAAACCTACTGATGGTGATATTTATAATTCTGTTAATTGATTTAAGAAATTGGGGGCCGAAAGTAATTTGGCGACATGCCTGAATTTTTTAATCAGAGAGATCATCAGTAGTTTAATATAAGGTAATGGTTAACAATTCCAATTCTGGTAATCCTTGTTTCTGTCCAACCTGGAAACTTGAAGGAGCTCATTCAATTGCTATTGTGCTTGTACTGTCATGCCATTTTTAAAATCGCTGTATACAGATACTAGCTGCAATTTAGTGAAAGATGGGTCATCAAAGCAAAATATAACAATAAACTGTATTTTCATGAGTATAATTTTAACAAATAAAATAAATGTAAATCATTATAATAACACTTTTATTACCTTTCTAATCCATTAAAAGTACACACTAAACCACGGCGTAATTTGTATACTTCACAGAACCGCCATGTTCCGGAGTATACAGAGCACAGATTACTAAACCGTATACGTGATTCTTAGCACACATGGTCGTGAACAATCTTCGATCGATGTAATTCCCCAGTTGATATGTTGTAATGACTGACACCATGCTTAACTTTACTCACCACAGCACTAAATGTGCACTACCTGCCTCAATATCATCTTACAGTTTTCCTGTCCTTTCCAGTACCATCTATTTTGCACTATGGATAAGACAATCATTTCTTGTACTTTCAGTCCTGCATGATGTCATTTTTCCTCAAAAATGTGAACTTACCTTTCATATCAAACCAGAAGGAAGTTCTATTGACTCAAACTGCAAAAAAAGTTTAAGTTTTCTTGTCAAACAAAGCCTCTGCTACCTTCACACAACTATAGTAACTATCCTGGTACAGATGGTGGTTTTGTTTTCATCTATCACTGACAACTGAGAGGACAGTAACTTCCGGCTTTTCACCTGAAGGAATTTGTGTTGTAAATATAGTTGCTTCTAGACTCACAGAGCACCCTGACCAGTAAACCACATTTCACAATTTTACCTATGTCCTAAATTTCAGTAGACCTCTCTGTAGCAACATTCCTTTAACAAAAGATAATTCTCTTTTGGGACTGTACAATGTTTCGAATTTTTATACAAAGCACTTATTAACAGAGTGAATTATGAAGAGTCTACCTGATTGCCTTTTGTTTTGAATTACTGCACAAGTGCCAAGTTTGACATATTGCTTCAAATAGATTCCTATTCACAATTTGTGAAAATATAAGTGTGAATGTGGTTAGATCTGTTGACCAGGAATTTTTGATACTGGCTTTACATACCTTAATCAACCATACCAACAGCCTTAAAATCTTTCACATTTCAACTTGTTTGGGTACAAATTTGATTCTTTTTGCAGAAGAAGCAATTAGATCAGTGCCGAAGTGTAGCCTCACAGGCTCTGAAATTCTTAATCCTATGATCACAAAATTCTGTATGTAATGTATTAATTAGGTATCAACATTTCTTCCACTATATACAATAGTTGTATAACCATTGACAGAGCCTCATTTGTGAAAATGGGGTATAACACATGTAGCTGTGCCTAGAAATTGAAATAGGGCCTTAACCTTTGCATACAAGGTGGATTCCTTTACCCACAGCAGGCTGGCACAAGTCAGTCAAATTACCTAAGTGGTAGGATTAGAAGAAACATTAGACAGAAACACAGTAAAAGCTTTCAAAGTTGCTGATATACAAATGAACAACTTGTAAATTACAAATTTTTAGTTTAAGATTTACATGCGTCATGTTTGTGTTTTTGATTAAAATATGTAATAAAATTCAGGTCAATACACAAAACTATATTTGGATGTTAAAATTTAAATGTTAAAATTTGCACCATTCATCACTATAAGGATGTTACATTAGAGCGCTTTCATTCATTTCACAACATGTTTCGATGTAATACATCATCTTCAGGTGTTGTTTTTTAAAACTATTTTATATTATAATGCATCCTTATAGTGATGAATGGCGCAAATTTAAAATTTAAAATTTTAACATTTAAATTTTAACATCCAAATATAGTTTTGTGTATTGACCTGAATTTTATTATATATTTTAAATTTTTAGTGTTTCCATACTCATATATCAACTGCTCAGCTACCTGTACCTTTTCATTCTGGGAAGGCAAGATTGTCAGTCAGTAAGCAAAACTCTGATTGCATGTAGCATGACATCACTTCTACATATACGATTTAATAAGAGGAAAATAATGTAGACTCAAAGCCACATTCTGTATCTTAGTTTAATATCTCTGTACTGTGGTGACTATGACACCTTTAAAATTTCTGAACAAGAATTTTGTTCTTTCTACCAAAATACAGATTCAGCGGTGTTTAATTGTAAAAGAGAACTCTCTCTTTCTTCCTTACAAAATAATACTGTAGCTGGCATACAACATATGTGACATAAAATAACAAAATTTTTCCTGAAGGAGCATACTGATTCAACCCTTCAAGCTACTGTGTTAAATAGAAATTATTACATTTCAAACAGCATTGATAACAAATCAAACGCTACAAGACAAAGCAGTACATTCAGAAACTTAAACTAATTATTTCTTATAAGTTATTAAAGATCACTAAAATCAATAAAAGGAAATTTGTGAATAAGTATAAAAGTGCATACCAAATGCAGTTACAGAGAAAGAGTGAAACAGTCTTAATAAGGAAACCATAGCAAAGGGAGTAAAATTGGGCATTTCCATGCATACACATGAGGAGTTGACAGGTATAAATGATACAGAACTTCATACAAAAGTAAATAAAATTATAATATTACTGAGTGGGATTTAAAGAATTATTGCAATCACATTATTCCTTTTTTATTTCATAAAATACAAATGGAATGACAGTTATACAGAAAACACAATTTATAATATCAAACAGTCGGCAAATTGAGAATTAACTAAAAGAACATTTTTATGGTGACAAAAATATTCAATAACTTCAAACATCTTCCTACCAAGAAAATTTGTGTAACATTCCTTTTCCTGTTCTGAAATAATTTTTTTTATAAATAGTCTTGTATATCCTATACAAAATGGAATGAAACAATAAAGCCTTGCTGTAACATTCACAATATTTTAAATTATTTAAAATTTAATAAATAAAGTAAAGAGGGGCACAAAATATATGGTATTCATATTAAGAGAGTTTCAGCTTTTGAAAATGTTAACGTTTCTTGTAAGCAACTATGCAACGTACACAGCAATCCTTACAGCCAGTAGTGCCCATACCTTAAAAACAAGCTTACATAACTTCCTGATGATTTTCCATTGTAGAAATTAACTTATTAAGACTGATAAACATTTATTTTAAATTTTGATCCTGAACAATTTATAAATGTCACATAGGCAATAAGGGATTATTACATAAGGCTTCAATTTACAAACTTTCATAGTCAGATTTATTCTGAAATATAATTGCGTTACACAGTAAATAAATAAAGCAAACAGAAAAAGAAAGCCAAGATAACTTAACAGTTGTAAAAGCTGCACAAAGCACAGTAAATCCCTGAAGCATATGGGTTTCATGTTGAACAAAGAGAAAATGCAAGAGTTTTCAAATACCTGCTGTTTATCCATTATAAAATGTTTAAAAGCCTCGTGTAAGAGACTATCCATGAGAAAATATTACCGCCTCAAAATTCAATTTTCAGAAATGAAAACAGCCAATTTTCTTTACATCAATCTCTTGATAATGTATAACAGCAGCATCTTTTGCAAAAAATCAAAGAACTCCAACACCTCATATAACTTTTAATGTATCAAGAAAGCACCAGTTTATCCATAATTGAACATCCATAGACTGCCTGAAATCTATGTACATAACAAGAGTGATGTAATGTTTGTGGAATACCAGTACTGTACACAGAAATTTCATTTAAAATATGACAGTCACACACAAAGAAGGAACAATAGTACACAAAACCAGTTTTGATGTAATGCTATTTAACAGGCCCCATCAGTCTTACATATGCAGAGAATCGATATATATTTTGGGAACTGTGATGGAATTCTGATGTGGGTTACATTAAAAAATACTGTACTTGAAATATTTCATTTCAGGATTTTAAAAGTAATTAATTTTACATAAATTGACTGCACAATGACAGTTTATATTATCTGTAGAGCTAACCAAATTATACAAAGCTGTGGTTGCTCAAGACAGGCTGAAAGTTCCATTATCTGCATTATGAATTCATTGGTAATATTGCTAAGTAAACTACTTATAAATAAGAAATAAAAATATAACACGATCAAAAGGACATTTTTTTAAACGAGTTACTTGATAGTAACAAAGATATGAGCCAAGTGCTAAACCAGAATACCAGATCCTATGGTTACAAAATGGACGTCAAGCAACATCTCTCTCCCCAGTGGTCTTGCATTGTTAACTGCAATCACCAAATTCCAATATGTATAAAATTCTAATCTATATGCACATAGGTACCACATGGGTATATTATTCTGATGATGTTCTAAAGGCAAATAACAATTTATTTTTCCAAAAGAAACACTTCATCAGAATTCTCCCAAACAGTAAATATAACTGTAATGAAATTCTGTAAATGGAACACTTAAAGATATATATATATATAAAAACTGCCACTTTTAATATGAAAAGAATATAACTTGATGAGTATTTATTTCCATGCATATGCAATGGTCCATGTTATGCATTTATTATTTTTGGTTTTATCAATGACAACCACAGTCAAGGTAAATACCATTTTGCAGTAATAACTTGTACTTGCGAATATTCAAGAATGCTACAACGTCCTGACACGAACTCTCCAACAAGAAGAAACAAATTAAGTCAGAAAGAACACACATAATGTACACGCCACTTCATGAAAACAAGCCCCGCACCAAATGGATGAAGTGTGTTTCCATGACATAGTTAAAACTATTACGTTCGTTTTGTTACGCGGGGTTTCAATGACATGAGATTCTGAAATTCTGAATCATAAAAACTCTTAGATTCGGACCATATCCATCTCATCTCCTACAATGGCATTGATAAAAACACTAATTCTTTGGAACGTTAAATGCTGATAGGCAAGTTCATGATCTTAAAAGTTTGAGCTTGTACTGATTTTAAACCATGAGCTAGACAGCTCAAATCAACAGCATATATTTATAGTGCCTTTCGATGTAGTAAGTTTTGTAACGTAAAATTACTTTATTACGATTTCTTCTTTCATTTTCACAATATCTCTTCAGAGTTCACAGATTACACATGTAGATTTATGATACACATGCACACAGTTTCACATAAATATGAGAAAGTGACAAGCTCACAAAATGCCATTGGTAAGATACTGGAAGCCATCGTACAGTTTGGTGCTCAGTGAATGAATGCTTGATTCCACCAAGCTATCCACCAATAACCGGAGTTGTTCTTCTGTGAGGTTCAAGTGGAAACGATTCTTCAGACCTTGAACAGTGGCTGCACCAGACTTAAAGCAAGGTAGTTGTGACCCTGAAATAACACACCAAACTGAATTGTTTCTGCAACATTCTGTGGTCTAAGACACCACTTTTAGCTGCGGCAGAGGAAACGCATGTTTTTCGAATGGCTAATACTCGGCAAGGAGGCGGGTGGGGGATTTCCGCCCCTTGCTAGTAGACAGCTTAGATGATGCAGTTTCAGTAGCCATGGCACCGTGGACCCGCGAGCATCAGGTGTTTGTCGTTGAAAATTATATCAAAAGTGGTGAATCCATAATTGCCGTTCATCTCCCATTTCGGTGATATCCCTTGGCCGCCTCGCTCCCCTGATCTGTCCATATGACTATTTTTTGTGGGGTTACCTCAAATCAAAGGTCTACAGAAACAAACCATGCAACATCTGGGAACTGAAAGATTCCATTCACCAGGACATCGCTACTGTGGGGGAAGAAATGTCGGGAAGAGCAACGCAGAATTTCGAGGAGAGGCTGCAAGAGTGCATACAGAAGGAAGGGCGTCATTTGACAGATGTTATTTTTCGGAAGTAATTCAAAAATGCTCAACAAAAACTGAATTTTAAAACCTTTCTTTTTGTGTAATTAAAATTTTTTTAACTTGAAAATCAACAAGTGGGTTATTGTTATTTGAAAAACATGCATTTCCTCTGCCGCACCCGGTATAAAACAGTTTTGTCCTTAGGTTTTTACAGCTGAGTCCAATGCATAACTGGCTTTCAAGTGTAAGTAGCATCAGATGTTGAGTATTAATCAACTTTTCAGCAAACACTGCAGTTACCAACTTCAAGATGAATGTGTAGTGGGGTGAGTTCTGGAAGCATTACATAGGGCAGGCAGTGGGTGTCACTGGATGCCACATATAAAGAAAATTATTCAAAGCAATGACCACTTAACACAGTATCATTTTAACATCACTAGCAGATTATGAAATGTTATCACTTTTATGTTTCTCAATCAGTATAATAGCACTGAACAAAATTTTTTAATATCACTCTTAAGTTGCTTAAATGTCTACAAAGTTATCTGAATTACTCATTCTACAGCGGTGGAGGAACTATGTTAAACACTTAAAATTACTTGTTGTCAGGACTTTTTCCATCGTCTGTTTTTTAAAACTCACGACATTTCGGAGGCTGCTTCTGTCTCCGTCTTCAAGTGAGAGGTACCTACTCTGTTGGGTCTCTTAGAAAGAGCTAGTCTCCGTCACTGGACTGTTAAACAGCTCATTATATGTTTTGTTCATATTTCCGCAGGTAGCTGCCACTATGCGTACACACCAGGACTGACAAATACTGGGCATCACATGACCATGTCATCTACATATTTTCTTGTGGTGCCCAGTGATTTTAAACTTCCAGCTCAAAAATGATTGTGACAAACAACTGCTCATCTCAGGCCGTAAACAATCAGATGACCAAAATGTTTGTATGGTGGTCATTTGCCATCATTATGTACTACGGTGAATGGTTGGTAGACACTTCATTTGTAATGCCATTGCAGGGAGTTTGGCTTGTGTTCTGACTATACTAAAAAATATTACCTTTCCTTAGAATATAGGATAAGCAAACCAACAACTATTAACATTATAAAATGACACTAGTGCCATACGTGTTTCGACCTCAAGAGGTCATCATCAGTGGCATCAGGGAAATTAATACATATAGTCAAATGGTTCAAACTGGATTCAGAATTAAAAATGAAAATGGTATTTGACAAAATATTTGAAGTGACACTGCACTGGATGCTGTTATGTGTGAATAACAGCATCTAGTGCAGTGTCACTTTTTCATTAGAATGTATTATATTTAATTTACATACAAATTACTGGAGTAATAGAATGTAACAGTCCTGAGCTGTAGCCGCGCGGTCTGAGGCATCATGCTTTGGACCAGCGATACGGAATGTGCGCTGGTTCGAGTCTCGGGGGAGAAGAAATTTTCTCATGAGCTTTCGACCAGTGTATGGGACCGGTGCCAACCCAGCATCATGAGGAAATTGGGGAGCTATAATGAGTAGCGTAATCCGGTCATGAAAACTAGCAATGGCTGGGGGTTCGTCGTGCTGACCACACGTCACCCTATATCTGGTTGGATGATCGTTCACCTCTGCTTAGGCATGTGAACGTGAGGCCGGCAGTCAAGCTAGTCGGCTTTGGCTCTCTGGAGGTGTTACGCCATGGATTTAATTTTAATAGAATGTAACACAGCTGTTTTTGTTACTTCTTATGGAAATATCATCACGCTTTCCAAGAATGTAACCACGATGTTAACTGATTACTGTCAGCATTTTATTTATTTTACCTATTTGTGTTTCATGCAGCAGCAACAAGGGTTAAACCAAGGACTCTCCCAATAGAACTGGGTATGATGACTACCAGACCACACCTTCCTATTCAGTGACAAAGGTTTTAAACCAGATACTATCACAAGAAAAAATAAACTACCAGAATAAAAGCAACTAATCACCTGAAGACTGGTGTCAAAATCCTAAAAAAATGTAAGTCACACAACCGACATGTCAACCAAAACTCTGTCGTAACATATATACAAACAGTAATCAAAAGGCAATGTTATTACCTGAGCGCATGATCTCCACAAGATTGAGAATTCGATCCATATGCTTCCGTGCAGCAATGAGACCTTGCAAGATTAATATCTTGAAATATTCAAACATATCGGAGCCAAGACCACCCATTACTTCAACAAATTCTGGCGTCAACTTAAAGGGTGATGTCTCAAATCCAAGATTCCGAGGAGATGCTGACAGGATGAATCCAAAATCTATGTGGATCAAATGACCTTCACTGTTGAGAAGAATATTTCCATTGTGCCTGAGAAAGTAAAATTAAAAGGGTTCACTGTAAGCACACAGAAATTGTTTCTGAAAATACAGAATATATCGCCAGCACAATAAGATTCAATAATATCTCACATCATACATGAAATAAGTTACGAATCTTAACATAAGCAGAGAAGGACGAACATAGCAAGCAACAAAAAAGGGGTTCAGCTCTAAAGAAATCACATTGACCAAATACAAAAAGGCACTCCAAGCGAATTTTCACATAAGTCTTCAAGTTCTTAAATCAATCAAAATTATAAATACTTGCACATCACCAATTAAATGAAAATTAAAATGGACTTCATTATTGTATATCAATTGTACAGACACGTCGACATCACTATATGGCTCGTTATTTGTCTTTACATGCGAGGTTTTTTAATTTGAATTCTTTTCTTTGGCAAAACAATTTTAAAACATGCATCTCTGTAAGTTAACAGTGCAGGACTGAATTAGGTTCAATTTCAAATGATCTCATGTTTATAATATTGTTTATTATTTCCTCCACAGAGCAAAGAAACTTGAAAAAAATTATAAACAAAATAAATTTCTGATGCACTTCTTAGTGATTACTGCTGTATGAGAATATCTCCCTAGTCTACGGTGCTGAACTTTCCACACAATCTTTTGGCAGTCTTCCTATGCCTCATGACTCAGAAAAACCTTATAGTTAATTCACAGCATATTCAAGTTAAATATTTGTAGTTTTTCTCCGTGGCATCCCAACAATTACTTCATTCACACACAGAAGAAGGCAATGTCAAACCACTTCTGGATCATCTGCCAAGAACGTATATGAACAGGTCCCAGTCCGAGAAAAGGATGGAAGGATCCTGTTCATATGGACCTGTCGTCAGACAGAACACTAAATAAAAAAAATGGTTCCTTACCTGTCTTTCACTTGAACGAGGTAGCAAACAAGGCAATAAGCAGCACAACTTTCTACAAAGTTACATTGCGCTGTAAGAAAAGCTTCTGAGTTGTGAGACCCGTATTCCCGTTTAAAATACTGCAGTAAAGACAGCTGACAGTGTTTCTTGATCTGATGTAACGATACAGTATTCAGGATTGGCTCAATAAGTCCAGTATCATTTGATAAGCACAAGATCCTTAGCAAGAAAAAGAACAATTAGAATTCACAACTGGAAAAAAACAGACTAAAATAATTACAATAAACAGGAAAATAGATTCACTGCATCAGTAAATATTAAAATCACATACTCAAACAGAGGAATTAGTGTCAGAGATGCAAAATAAAATTGAGTATGCCATTAAATTAGTTAAATCTGGAAAACACAGCAGATGAGACTGAAAAATATTTGATAATGTTATTGGTTACTTAGCAATGCTGCATCAACTGCAAGGTTATGTTATGTTGAATGAGAGGAGACATTATGTATGGGGAACTGTAAAGGACTGGGACGAGCATTGGCTTTTTTTTAAAGATAATAACTTGACATCTGCATAAAAGGGGACCAGCAAAATCTATAAAAAAAAAATCTTGTCAGTACAAATGTAAACGTGTCTCTCTTAAATATAGGTCAAATCAATCGCTGTTTAAGTTTACATACTTAGCAATAAAATGGCACCAAAACAGAAAACTCTGTATATTTCATTTTATTTTTAGAAGAAACAGTTTATGCTGAAGCATATCAATTCATAATTATGCAGTTGTACTCCTTACTAGAACATCAGAATAGGGGGCGAAAGAGAGCCTTAGTAGTGCATCCTGGTGGCCGCAGATTAAGAGTAAGACCCAGGAAAAGGTGGTGGATGCTTGTGAAGGACAGGGATGCACGGGAGAAGGTCACTGAAGAGGCCAAGGGCCTAAAAGTCCTGTAGTGCCAAAGAGGAAGACAGACAAATTTGAATACCGATGAAATAAATAATAATACTTACTTATATGGGCGTACCCAAAGGCAAATCCTTTCTGATTCCCAAATGCGCTGCAACATGGTGAGTAACTGTGAAGCAAGAAGTTCCTGTCGTAGATCATCACCGCATTTAACAATAACTGACAGAAGGCGCCAGGAAGCCATGTGACCATATGGCGAAGCTTCCCTCACTCGCCTCTCCTTTTCCTCCCAAGGCTCTTTGAGTGCAGCTGCTGAGGGATCTTCAGGATCGTGAGTAAAAGCTGCTCTCCGCAAATCATGAAATGACTCTGATAATCGCCGTCGAATGTCGCCAGCAGCAATAAATACCGGAGGTTCTCGTGAATCGCTCGACTCCTGACTTAACTGGGAAATAGTATCACGATCCATTGGCTTGCGGAGTTGCATGTACTGAAAGTGTCATAACATAAACTAGTAAATAAACAAAATGGTAGTGCACGCTGGCTAGAAGTGAGAAAATTTTGAAGGTAAGCTGACTATTCTTATAAATGTTATCCATTAAAGACTTTTTTTTGGCAAAAAGAATTAACTTTGATACAGGTTTTATGTGTATTCGGACTTATCATTTTAATTTATGTTGAAAGTGGCTTTACTTACTACCTATACAACATATGAAGTCGTTTTGTGTATGCAAAAGAGAAAAATGCAAAATTTTAATTTTTACTCATTTTTAATGCTTTTCTGCAAGTAATTATGGCCACGAGTGTCCACAACTATGCAAATGCTAAAGGACCTTATTATAATCTGGAAGTTGTAGGTCCACAGTCGTTTTTATTTCTCTCCCCCGTCAAAAACGATGCACCGAGGTTTCACTGTATATCAAAGACACGTAATTCTAAATGTGAAATGGTGGGCTGGGTACATGTGAACTGGCATGCAAACAAGGCTATGGTGGAGTTTGCATTTGCCAGCCAGGAGTATGGAGTTAGGTGGTCAATTTTAAGTTGGCACATTTGGCAGGCCTCTGATTTCAGTCGCCATAAAGACAATTTCATATTTAATTTACTTCATATAAACAAGTTTTATAAATTTGTACTTTCAATGCAATTTGCAAAGATAATGCTGAATAAATTGTATTACTGTTCAACACAAAGAGAGTTAATTCCTGTCAACTTTCATGGGTCACATTAAACTAGTATATAAGAACACAAAAAAAGTATATACAATATGTACCTGCTGTGATATCTCATCATCTTCCTGAGACCAACAGTCCCCAGTTTCATCATCAGGATTTCCATACACACTGAAGGCACAAAGAGATGCACTCTCTGCCTGGGCGGCGCCTTCGGCCGCCAAATTTTCTTCTGACTTGGTATGGCGAAGAGTATTCATGATCTTTGCTGGTACCGGTGAAGTGTGAATGTCCTCCACCTCCAAGACCTCTACATAGATTATATAAGGTGCCTATCAACAATAAAAAAATTAAACTTAATTAATTAAAAATAATTTCCAATATTATGTAGTAGAATATCACAGTAAATACCAATATTACAAACATTTAATCTGATTAATGAACTGTTAATCTGTTCATCAGTTTCCCTCGTGATAAAAAATATTTAATCTTTACGACATTTTAGTACAATACATGAATTTTTCTACCATCTGCTTAAGATACAGACAGTGTTAAGGAACATATCACTTTATTTTTATGTGACTTAAGTTCACTTCTGCAGTTTGTAAATCTGAGGCGAGAACTGTCATTCTCGTCATGTTCTGACTTCGGCCTATTAGCGTTCACGTAGTACGCAGACTTACAATGTACAGAAACAGCCTTACACAAGAGTAACACGTGACTTTTAGCCTAGTAAAAACAAAGTTTGGTTACTTGGGTGTGGAAATTGTGTGCTGTGAGTGGTGCATTAAGTAAAGCAGTTTACTTAGTGAAGGTGGCTGTCTTCTGTCGTCTGGCAGAAGTTTACCTGAAACGTCAGTGAACTTCTACCAGACTACATAACACAACAACCCATAAAACTCCCTTCTTCATACTTACTGCTGTAAGAAGTTGAAATTTCACAGTTCACTTAGTGGACTGAAGTCAAACTAATCAATATTACAGTAAAGTAAAGTGAAGTTAACCTTTAAACGACGGGATTCAAATGGCAAAGTGGTAGCAGCCCTACAGAGTTTTTTTTTTGCAGGTTTTTAAACTTTTGTGCACGCTCCACGGAAAACTTTAATATTATCTAAAGTAAATATGATAAATTCACGAAATAAAAGCCATATTTATTCGAATAGAACAGAGAAAACATAGTTTTTTTTAATAATGCAGTTAATATCTTAATTGCCTAAATAGGCCTTAGTAACTTTACTTTCTTCTTTGGAAGCTCATTTGACATGATAGAAGCCATGGCTGTGAACTAATGACCACACAGAAAAATTTGTTTCCCCTACTTCAGTGGATACACATTCTTTTCACAGATCATGCCGAGGAATGTGAGTAGCTTTGATTGGGGGGGTCTGAAAACGAAGCCGAAACCCACTTGACAATAACAATGTTTATTGCTGTTTATGGTTACAGTTCCCGGGTTGACAGCTCGTGTTGAATTTGTCAGAACCCTAGAGAAAGTGATTCAATATTTGCAGCCCCTAAAAGAGGCCAAAAGATGTAGCTAAGTCTACTTACGATGTTGCAAGTTTTGATTTCCGCGCCGGGAACGTTCGTAGGGCTGAGTACACAACTTACGTCCCAGACAGGGAATGCTAGTAAGATAAAGGTTAAGTGATGTGTTTGTTGTTGTGTGTGTGTATGCGTTACAGTAGTATATTTGTCTTATAACATGGATAAACATTACCTTGTCTTTTGAATTGAGTACTGCTGATGCTTGCGGAGGTATTCTCACAATATGATGTGGAACTTCACTGTGAATAGGCAACCATACTCTAGCAGGAAGGTTGAGGTTTAATGTGTGAAGTTCAGCGAGAAGTCGTGTTGTTTTCGCTTCCTTCGTTGGAATAGAACTCAGGAGCTTACTGATGGATATAAGGGCCTTGATGAATTCCAATTCTGGCGCCAAACGTGGAGCCTAATTAAAGTACAATGGTCAGTACAATCAGCATAAAACGTATAAAATTCATATTCAGTACCAAATTTTATAGGCGCATTTTTGGTGGAATGTTCCATTTAGTAAATAAAGTAAAAAATTAAATTATACATTTGGAAAGTTCTGCAAAGGAAGATAACAGCATTCTGGGATATTCCACCACGTAGTTTTGTTGAAGTTGAACAACATTTCAGAGGTGCTAACTGCCTCTATCATCAGGGCACACTCGTGCACACACATAATTATTATTAACCAGAACACACTTCAGTCAACTTATAGTAAAACATAAACATATCTATTTGAAACTTTCACAGTAACCAAATTTATCCAGCTGTCAAACTGTGAACCGTATAACTCTGTAGGATTTGGCGTTTTCACAGCAGTGACTCTGAAGAGTTGTTGCGCTGTGTAGTCTGGCAACCTGGAAATCTACCAGATTACATGGTGCAATAACCCAGCAGACAGCAATTTTTCTATAACTCTGGCTTTTAGATGACAGCTACACTAAATGTTTGAGCTAACCAATGTTTCAGCAAACAGCATAGTTACCATTTTCGCCACTACATTTCACGCATTATTCAAGTACATCAAACATACATTATACAGGAAAAATCTAACATTCTCATGAAGGTGAGTATGAAGATACTACGAGGGTCGCTCATTAAGTAATGCCCCACATTTTTTTCCTCAGAACATATTTATTCAAGATGGCTCAAATTTAGTGACAATATAAATCAATGTTTCCTTTACACATACTATTTTTCCACATAGTCCCCATCAACTTGTACGGTTTTACGCCAGCGTGGAACAAGGGCATGCATGCCTTGCCGGTACCAGCTCTTGTCCTGTCCCCGTAGCCATGTCCTCACTGCTTGAATCACGCTCTCGTCATCTTCAAATCTTGTTCCGCGGATAGCATCTTTAAGGGGCCCAAAGAGATGGAAGTCGGAGGGTGCCAGATCTGGACTGTAGGGTGGATGGGGTAGCACCGTCCAACCCAATTTGGTGATTTCTTCCCGGGTTCTCAGACTTGTGTGAGGGCGTGCATTGTCGTGCAGGAGCAAAATTTCTGCTGGATGCTTGTGAGGCCGAACTCGTCGAAAACGCTTCTTGAGGGTTTTCAGGGTCCTGATGTACGCGTCTGAATTGATGGTCGCACCTCTTGGCATCACATCCACAAGAATGACCCCATCACTGTCCCAAAAGACAGTCATCATGACTTTTCCGGCGGAGGGAGTTGTCTTGAATTTCTTCTTTCTCGGTGATTGAGGATGATGCCACTCCATTGACTGCCTTTTTGTCTCTGGCTCAAAGTGGTGTATCCAGGTTTCGTCACCTGTAATGATCCGGGACAGAAAGACCTCTCCCTCAGCATCAAAACGCTCCAACAATTCAGAAGAAATCGTTTTCCTTTGAATCCTGTGGTCTGCTGTGAGACTTCGTGGAACCCATCTTGCGCACACCTTCGAATATGCGAGAGCCTGGATAATTGCAATCACACTTCCATTGCTGACTGAAAGCTGTTGGGCCAATTGTCGAGTTGTGATGCGCCGATCCTCACGAATAATGGCATCCGCGCGGTTCAACATGTCTGGAGTGGTGGCTGTGGCAGGACGCCCAGAGCGCGGCAGATCACGGAGCTCGGTTTCTTCACTTCCTGAAGCTTTAACTCTCTTAGCCCAGCGACCAACGGTGCTCCTATCGACTGCACAGCTTCCATACACAGCACACAAACGTTTATGAATGTTCACCACCGTTTCTTTTTCAGCAACAAGGAATTCAATTACAGCTCGTTGCTTGTAACGAGAGTCGTTCACAGACGCCATCAAATCTCAAGCATGTAAAAGTGCACTTTTCTATCTTCATTATTGGCTGAGAAAAAAAATGTGGGGCATTACTTAATGAGCGACCCTCGTATATTATTAGTCGTTTCAATATGTAATCCGACAGTTTAATGACATTCCATGGGTGCTAGCCTCCATCACCTCACTGACCACACTTTGGGAACCTCTGCTCTAGCATCTTGATGATTCAATTGGCGGGTTTAATTATGACATGTCAACATGGCTTCATTCGGTCGGGAACACAAAGACACTTGACTGAACATGATACGTCACAAACATGTCACGCAAAAACACATAACAAGGAAAGTATCAGCTAACTTCTCAACTTGACTAAGCACAGTGAATGTTCATAAGAATTAAACGCCTTAGTTTCTGTGGTTGTTTCATATTCTTCATGATTGTCATTATTCAAGATTTTTCATCTTCCTGTCACTTCACCCTTCGTAAATCCAAACATTGCTCTTAAATCCATCCCAGATCAATGGGGGGGGGAGTGACCAGTGTTTTACCAACACTGAGAATTCACGTGAAGACGTGAAGGCGTAATGTGGGCCTATTAGCCTATAGGCGAGGTCTATCGGGGCAGTATCAACACTCACATCACGAAGCTACTACGAGAAGTGACATGAATTTGTTACCGAAAATGCGGAGGGAATGTAGCGCTATAGGTAGGCGTAACAAAGGAGGTGCAAGACACTAACCGTCTCCAAGGAGCATTGCCTGTCTTGAGATGCTAACAGTAGCTCAGCTATTCAAGAAATATCTCGTCTTTTATATAACACAAAGATTTCAAAACAGCCCGCTATTTATCCCTGTTCTAAACCCGATAAATTCATTCTAAACCGTCATATACTATTTATTTAAAATAAGATTTTTATGATCTCCCAATTCAAGTCTAGGTCTTTCTTTGTTTTTTTTGTTTTTTTTAGGTTTTCTGACAAATGGCGAATTGCCCTGACAATGAAAGCAGCAAGCACTTCTTAAATGTCAATAAACTTCTATCAGACTACACAGCACAGCACAGAAGACATTTTCATATATCACATAACTGAAACTGATATTGGTACTTACATTGCAAGTGCAATCTGTTCGCTTTCCTCGAAGGTCATTGACAACACCCTGACAGGTTTCAAAACACGTGCAACCATTATCAAATGCTCTTCCAGAGCCCAAATCTCCCAAACATATCTTGCTGCCGTTCCCTGTAAATAAAATGTTAAAGTATTGTTCAAAAACACTTAATTTTGTTATATACCAAAATAATAAAAAAAATATCACATTATCCGATACGTTTACAGGGCAGATACTATCTTGTTCATGCTTAGAAATATGCTCCATATTTAGAGGAAATGAGTACAGTGAATGTAATACACATTCATACCCATTTTTGTCAACAAGGACACGTTACAGCATTGTACGCTGTAACAAGTATTTCAAGTAGCTGAAATATACGTACAAGGTATTTAAACCACCGTACGTCTACAGATGCAGATGGAAAATGCAACTGTAAAAATTCTAGTTCCCTCTAAGACAGCTAATTTTCCCAAAACTTAATTTCACAAACTAAAACTTATATTACAAACTACGTATAATGCATCAAATGTTCCTTCCAAGCCATTTACGTTGAACAATTCACTGCATAAAAATGTATGTATTCCTCAGAAACTTGTTTTGATTTACAAGAAACTCAGGTGTTAATATTTCTGTTTACCATACTGAATAAAGAATCGTATTAAAATACCTACGACACACAAATTTACCTGAAGATATCATTCTTCTGTTCCCGGGGTACAGTCCTGTAGCATCAGACCTAGAACGCTGATGAGTCCTCTTGTTTGGTGATGTGATGGGAGTGCTAGTTGGAAGAGGTGGAGCTGGTGGAGGACCACTGGGCAAGGTTGGTGAAGCTAATTCCTTCATCTTGGAACAATCAGGTGCAGGGCCACCAGTACTAACTCTCGATCGACGAGCGAGTGCGGAATCTGCCTCCTTGGGCCGGAGTTCATCTGACAAGATCAGATTTTTCAGCTTGGTCCCATGGGATTTTTTCTTGGAGGGAAGATGAGCATCTGAACTATATGCATCAAGAAGCCACGCACACTTCAATGAAAAGTCCGCAGACTTTCTACATCTGTAAATTACAAGAGAAGAAATAGAAAAAATCTCCCTTACAGATACTTCCATAACTTCACAAACAAAAGAGACATTAAACTATGTCATCACAGGCATAAATATTACTGGATTACAAATGTCAATCTACACATTACGCTTACAGTGGAAACTTCAATAACGGTTCACAACAAATGCCATGTCTTTTCAGGACAGCACTGCTGAAGAAATTCCACAGGTTCAATAAATGTTTATAGCATATGAAAAATAACTGAATCACTATAACAAAGTAATTCAATATTTTGGCATATAAGCAAATCTTAAAAAAATGGAGTCTAACCATAAGCTCAGTGTCTGTCAACTAGAAACTTGTTATGAACGAGTGGTTCACTGGGATACTGGGAACGACCCGTTCTTCAAGTGCCTGAGCACTGCGGGTCCCAACATTTCGTTGGCTTGATCTATGGACATTCGGTAGGACTCCTTGGACGAGGGATCGGCCCGTCGCAAGGCCTCTACCTGTACACAGGACAACGCAGACAAACATCCATGGCTTGAGTGGGATTCGAACCCACGGTCCCAGCGACCAAGTGGCAGAAGGCCCACGCCTCAGACCGCGCGGCCACTGCGGACCCCATGAGTGGTTCACAAAGAATGATTATGACATCATTCTCAGTTACTGACCATTAAAACAGATTTCTTATATTCTGTACAGGTTGACCCTTACTCATTCTGGTCAATTTACGTTATCAGAGTAATGTCAGTATGTTTAATGTAAAATATTTTATACTTAAATGAATATGCAAGCAAATAAAAGTTCATTTATGCACAAGATTATAAATGATGAGGCAGATTTATCAAGATGAAACATGTGGATCACTTCATAGCAAATATTACTGCGAAGTTTCGCAACACTTTCTCCTCTACAAATTTGCTCACAGGAAACAGCAAAATATGTGCCATACTCTCAAAAGTTTATTATTTGTATCACTGAAGAGTGACTCATGTTTTTACAAGTTCCTTGTGAAAAACCCACACTTCTTGTTTGAATAACGTACCTTAAATATATGGACATAAAATGACTTTAATTAAAAAGCAGCTATAACAAATAAATATTTCAATCGACAGAAAACTCTTAACACTCCCTCTCTCACCTGTGAACAAGATACGGGTGAATAACTTCAGCGACATCATGCATCTGAATATACATGCTGACTAGCTGTGGTAGATAAAAATCTACTTCATGATCAGGAAAACTGAACATTTTGTTACCTAGAGCGGAGAAAAAAAAAAGTGACATTAACAAATGACTTTGTTTACAGAAACGATCGCTAACATTCAAGTCTTATTTTGTCATAATACAGTAAAAAATACAAATACCACATTCTCACCTATGTAACTCTGAACACCTGGCTCCTTCGAGTTGAATACATAGGTAATAGCCATCGACATGTCAAACATTTTGCTTTCAAACAGTCTCAAAAGAAAACCTTTCGCTCCCTTAATCTGCGTCGCATCCCTTTCAGATTTCTTATCGTCAGAACTCCCTCCACAACAGAGTGCGATAGAGGAAGGAGATAATATAGGAAATGACTGATTTTCTTTTCCTGGTATGGAAGCACTTGAATGGTCACTACTAGTTTCACAACTGTGACTGTACTTTGGAGCACAATTTTCGTCATTCTGCTCAACGATATCATCGGCAAGTTCATTTATTTCAACTGCTGGTGTCACGGTGATAAAGTCTGCATTCGCACCGTGGGGCTCCAGTTCATGATGGTCACCGCAGGCTTCAACTAAGTCGGGGCAGTCAACACATGATTTATTTATATTACTTGCATGATGTGCTTCGTGTGACGGCAAGTCAAAGCCCTCGTGATTGTGATCTATACCAGTTAACTGTTCTACACTTGACTCGCGTGTTGTTGTATTTGCATCGCTACCTGACCCACTGTCAGAACCACACAAAATGCCAGAGTCATCTGAACCTAAACTGGTGATCTCCTCACGGTCTCGTCCCTTTCCTACAGGCGGACCACATGTCGTGTTCTTGGCACACTCTCCTACGACAGCTGCTTTGGCTGACCCAGGGATTCGTTCCGTGGGCTCACATTCTGGACTTGGCGTGATGTCCACTTCGGGGATTCGCTGCAAAGCTGAGTCAAGACTACGGTTACGATGGTGCATTGTCAACGTTGTCACAGTCGTGACCTGCGACACTGGAGGCAGTAGAATGCCCATTGATCTGTGTACAGAAGACATCATGATATATAATCCATACTATTTAAAATAACTTATTTCCTGATGCAACTTCATACAAGGTCATGAAAAATGGATACAGTAATTTTAATTACTTGTATTTATTGAAGTGTTGTGCTAATGTTAATAAATCTGGCGTCACAGAACACACAACAGTTGGCAGATCTTACTCCTGCGCATCCAATACCAATTTCTGACGGCTGAAATCTTCCATATCTGCGGCCAGTGTTCCTTCAGAGATGCTCTGCACAGCAACTGCAACTTATTCCTTCAATTCTTGTACGGGGCATCACTAACAGGTAATAAACTCCCAAATGTTATGTATTCTGTGACACCAAACGCATTAATGTCTGTGCAACACAGCAATAAATTATGATTAACGGGTATTTTATACTCATAGTAATTAAAATACACCGCAAGTATTAGCCACAGTTAATTAACAGCAGTGTAAAAAAGGCGCCCTAATATAGTACATTAAATAGAAGTGCACTGCAGGATTGTAAAAACAAACTGGTATAATAAAAAGATACATAAACTGGTCTGTTCATGACATTTTGCAATTCAACCGACATCTTGCAAAGACCTATATTTAATGTGTAACCTGTTACAACCAGAGGATTTAAAGTCGCCGGGACGTGTGACAACATGACACGTGATAAGGATATTCAGTATCACGTGCCCCAATTCTTCTCCCTCAGAAAATCGACGTTGCTCTTAAGAAGTGTTCACTGTGGTGTGTGTAAGGGAGAGTTTCAGCTTACGCCACTCAGATAGATTCGTGATCTCAACGCGTGAGATTTATTCGACGGATAAGTCAGGGATGTTGTCCCGAAATGTTGTCAAGTAAAACGCGTTTGTGTGACTTCGTATCGAAGATAAACATTGGGTAATTTATTCAGTTTATGCACATCCGGAATAGGCTTACATATTTATCCCGATCACAAACTACGTAGATTCTAGTAGGATAGCGTTATTTTTATTTCTGTGAAACAAAAATTTTTATATCTTAATTGCGTCATGTTTGTGTTTTATTGATACAATATTTTTGTTTTCCGTCTATACACAAACTTAAAATAATGTTGTTTAAAATTATTTAAAATTATAACATTCTCAGTAGACACTGCATCTTGTTACATTTTTTGTATCGACGACATGTTTCAATGTGTATCACATCATCATCGGGTCTATCGATTTTAATATTTTTTTGTTATATTTTTTATTAAAATATATTAAAATTGATAGACCTGATGATGATGTGATACACACTGAAACATGTCGTCGATACAAAAAATGTAACAAGATGCAGTGTCTACTGAGAATGTTATAATTTTAAATAATTTTAAACAACATTATTTTAAGTTTGTGTATAGACGGAAAATAAAAATATTGTATCATATAAAAAATAGTTTACAATACTGAATGCTTAAAGTAAACTGTTCCACTTGCTGTACCTTGTGATACAAATCCACGAACAAGAAGTTCCTCTGTCCCCATTAATTTGACATGCCTTCCAAGTCAAAGAGCCGATCACTAATGCCAGTTCCTACCTTCTCATTTCACAATCATCAATGTTCAGTAATGTGTTAATCAGCACATAATCATTCACAGAATTTTCAACGTCTGGAACCAATAAACTTTGTCCATGAACTTTCAGGGAAGTGTTGATACGTTCCTACGTGTATAAGAAAAATTCCTTGCAAAATGCCAGCATTCGTACAGACGGCAGAACCGTGAAGAGTAGCTCTGACACGTTCAATGAATTTGGACACAAGAAGAAATAGGCTGTCCGTCAAGCCCAAGATAAATAAAAAATTTCTCAACTGCCAGAAACAGGAATAATAACGAGCCTGTTTACTCATTCTGCTAACACAGTTTTTATCTGCGATATTTACGGCAAATAAATACTAATTATTCATTCAAACACATCCTCGTAGGTGTGTCAATTAGTAACTGATTACCGGAAAATTTTCTGCTGCATAGCAAGGAAAAACAGAAAAAGATATGACCGTATTTTCTTACTCCTTTCTGCATATACTACACAATAAACATGCAACATGTTTCAGGTGGATATCTGAACTTGCACTTCAGATGTTAGTTTCTATAAGATTTGAGATGAGTCCACATTTTCAATGAGCTTATCACACAACCATTTTAAATATTAATATTATTCACAACTTGAAATGTGTGAAAATAAAACTCATTTCATTCTTTGTAACTCCATGTAAAATTTGGGCTGAATTCTAGTTTTTACAATGGAACATAAAACATCTGGCACGTCTGACAAAAACTACGCTATCGCTGCTGCACGCATAACATTCAACCATATTTACGAATCACACCTCATCAGTAATCCTATAATTAATTATTTTATCATCGATTGTAAACGTAAATAAAAAAGGTCATAAGTACACAACTAAAAGCACTAAAAATAAGTAGCGATAACAAAAGAAAAATATGCTAGTTTCTGACCTAAAATCGAGACTCAGATTGCGCTGGTGGTTGCTGAGCCGTGTGCGAACGTTCAATGCTGGGTTTGTACGCCCATGCACTGGTGGCACATTGTTCTGACATACTGTTAGCTTCTGTCGTTTGATGAGTGCTACCTCTGGTCGCTTATCTGCGAGAAGGTTGTTACCTCTCACAGTTCTCCCAAGTGGTGGAGGAGCAACTTCACTCATAATGTTATACTAGGCAGGAGGCCTGGTCATCTACCACTCATGGTTTTGTGACCAATTATGTAACTATAACGATGACTCTATCTGCAAAATAAAAACAACAATTAAAGTGAATATCTATATATTTTTATTAACTTGTTATCCATGACAAAAAAAATGTTTCAAGTATAGTATGAGACTGTAATTTCGAGACTTGCAAGGAATGCGGGAAGTCCGAAGCGTTAAGCTGACGCTATCTTTCCTCCTTCAACCCACTTCCTCACCCCGCAAGTCTCAAGATTACTGTCATATTCATGCTCATTTCCAAGCCTTGCTGCAAGCAGAACATCTTTAAATAATGTCATCCCCACTTGAATTAAGTGAGTTTATACTGCAAAACTAAAAAAAAACAGTCACTTATATTAAAATATTACATGTAATTTTTTTTAAGCAAATACAAGGCTGTTTGTAAAGAACAAACTACATTTTATAATATAAACCAGACAAGCAACTTTTGTTTTAATATAATTATTTCTTAAGCTTTTCTTTACCGAGTTTGGCGGGAACAAATAAGAAGTAAGAATAGCGTAACCTTTAATTTTTAATTTATATGCATCACATGAAGAAATGTCTCTTCTCTCGTCTGTAGTTTCTGAGGTCTTAAGCAAGCCACCAGTTTTTCAGGCTATCCACTTACAGATATGAGCTATTCTTGTAATTAAACTGATATGATTTATAAACAGACAAAATTAAGCCCTCAATACTTTATACAATACAATGGCAAACAATTAAAACCATTTACAAAATACATGGGAAGTTCTATTCTGATATAGTTTTCTCATGATTTACCTCAGTCCTTTCAAGGCAATACTGGGATATCTTTGAACAGATCACAATAAGTTTTCTAAGACCCTGTCTACTCACAACTTACATTAATCCCTATTTCACTTGAAGCATTTTACGTCATTTATCGACATTCCCCCCTTTCTAAACAAAATTGCACTCCTGTATATCCAAACTGTAATTAGCAGTCCAAAACTTACATGAAACAAATAAAATCACGAAACACACAAGTCTATTAGACGAGGCTGCGACTACAGCGGCTGAGCTTGCTAAATGTCCTTAACCTTTGAAGTGTGAAGCTCGCGTAAACAATATTTAAACATTCTGTTTGTACTGCAAGAACACAATGCGTCTGCATTGCAAAGATCAACTTGTTAATTATGTGCAGTAAATAACCACTGTTTATTTCGAGAATCAGATGAAACTACTGTCTGTGCACCAAGAGAAGACCACTGGGAATAGGGTAGGCACGAACAGCTATGCTGTTCTGATATACTCTTTCACATAAAATGCGTCTACCCCTGCAACACTATTTGTACACTACAGAAGACTACTGGATGATTTTATAACACTACAATAACAACTAGCAGGAGAAAACCAAAGTATCTAAGACAATCAAGTACATGCAAATCAAAATCTTATACAAAATAAATTGTACATGAGATAATATGAGTAATTACATAAACTTTAAAAACAAACTTAACTTCCTTCCTGTGATTCTAACAAAAAAACAAAACACAGCCCCTCTGAAGAAGTGTGCTGATGGTCAGATCAAGCATCACAAAGGCAGTGACATTTGGCAACAAATCATTAAGACAACAGCAAGCAAAAACATAAATAATTATAGGAAAACCCATTATAATGACCCTAAGCCTATAAATACCACATTGATTGTTCCAGGATTCAACATCTTGTCATTGTAGCTATTCATTCGTTTCAAATAAAACTATGCAGCTTTCTTTCTGGTAAACTGAAATACCTGACTAAGATTTACTATTTTTTGACGTAAATACATCTATATGGAAGGGTCATTCGGCAAAAAGGGGTAACAAACTCGTGTAACGAAAATGTGAAAGATCCATATCAACAATGTGTAAATATGGGACTGACAACGATGGTCAGCTTTTATATGAACTCCTTCATGCATTGTTATGTTATACCTAAAAAACTAATTGTTACGTCATCTGTTTACTCGGCGTTGTTGTGTTACATTACTACCGTCAACAATCCTCTTTCGTTATTGCGGAAACAGCTGAGCTGTGAATCGCTTGTAGATGAAGTGTGTTGTAGACTAGATCATTTTGTGCTGATAAAAACGTTTTAGAATATCAAAAGTACTTATCTTACATAAGAATTATTACATTACATCCCATTACATTTCATTTCATTACAGAGACGTATTTACGTCGCATTCTCCGGAACCATGGTTCCACTGTCAATTTTTTAATGGTTCTACCTCACGGCATAAAAAGGGGAAAATTTTTATCAACATCTGCTGCCATAAAAATAATTCTGGTATGGACACTGTGTGCAATGTCACTTGGCAGAGGAACAGTTACCAAGCCAGAAAGGCAAGTCTGCAAAACCCTTATGAGGTGCAGATCACAACACCAAAACAACATTATCAGTGGGCTGTTGTAAGGAGTCCCTCAATCACCTATGAGTATAGTACCAATCAAGACCATAGTCCCCCCAAAAAGTGAGAGACAGAGAAGAGCATGCTCAAAGAGAGGTTCAGGAGGGGAGTGTTCAAAACATAACAGTGTCAGGTTCTGATGTGACTGGATACCATAATCTTCTCCTATATATACACGTGTCTGGGACCGGGCCTCATGGTTGGACCCAAGTCAATCAGAGGTGGTGGGTGCGGAGACATGAAGAATGGGACAGAATTGATATACTTTCCATACATACTTCAAAGCAACTTCATAGTACAAGCCAAGGATGTAGAACATGTCATTATATAAATACCAACACTTAATACAAATAAAATACTGATATAAATTTACATTTACTATTAAATTTACTGGTAAGCAGGATAGCGCAGTCAGTATAGTGTCTGGCTATGGGCAGGGCAAGTGGGGCTTCAAACCTTGACAGTGACAGCGAATTTTTTCTTTAGCCTCTGCAGCCAGACCAGCTTTGGGGCCCACCCAGTCTCATGTCCAATGGGTACCAAGGTCCTTTACCAGCAGTAAAGCGCTGTCGGGGAGTGCTGCTGACAACTCACCCCCTTCTAATGCCAAGGTTGAGAATGAGTAGGAGCTACACCTCCTCTCACCAAAGTGCCAACATTGTCATGTAACAATATGGCTTTTATTAAATTTACTATTTACATAAGTATTTAATGTATGTAATAATGTTCAAATGAAGTACATTCGGTACTGGTTAAAATACTTTTATATCATGATTTCAACTTCCAATATTTGATGAAGAATATCAAATAACTTATTCCAGTATGTTAAACACCTTCCCGACAACTAGTGTGGTTATTATTTGGCATACAGAGGTAATGTTTATGTCTTGAGTTTATACCATGCATGTCTGAATTTGTTTGAAACTTTTCTATGTTGTCCACACTAAATGACAGTAATAATTCATTCACAACATAGGCATATTAAATTTCATATATAGTTCTCTACAAGAGACTCTTTTAACACCTTCAATTATTCTAATGATTTTCCTGTTCCAATTCCTCCAGAAGAAAAATGATAGATAGTACAACTACACGGAAAAAACACAAGTTCTATTTTTAAAAAGTAAAATATAAATCACGGTAATGAAACCCAGCAAAAATTTAATTCAGGGCTATTGACAATTAAATCAAATTTGAGTTTGATGGGAAGATCACAGACATTACTTCACTTTCACATTCCATATGCTCATACCATATATCTGAATCTGAAGAGCATTTCTTATACAACAGAGCAATACAAACACTCACAGAACAATTAATTTTTCTGTGGTAAATATATGTGTTCCCCTCTATTAGTCATCACAAACATACTAAAAAGCAGTTCTATAACACTTGAAAATTAATCCACATATAAAAAATAATGGAATTACAAACTACAATTCCTAACGACAAGGCTAAAATTTCAGAAAATAATGAACCACAAAGGTGATTTACAAACAGAAGCTGTAAATAATATGTACAGCTAGCTACAAACAACAGAATGGGTGTGCCCAACTACAGTCAAAAGCATGTGTTGTATTATAACACTCACCAAAATTATATTAATTCCAAATATTTCTAGTACAATTTACTTCTTAAACTATGTCTAGCAAATATGCAAGAATGTTCTACTTCCGTGATATGGGCAACTTTCTACGACGGCCTGCTGGTTAGTAACCGTCTGTCATTCCACATAAATATTATACACATTGATAAAACCAATGAAGTTATTTTAATTTATATAACATACTGTCGATTATATTAGTTTATATTATTCAACAGTATTATTTATTACTCACCACGATAGACAATGCAAAAACAAGAAAATTAAACCATTAAAATAAGCTCTTCAACGACACAAGCCACGACAGCCATATTAGATTAATTCTCCACTGTAGCCAACGTCATATCAGAGATTGAAGTACACTCGATATTGTTCGGTTAACATTACGAAGAAATCTATCCGTCATTACGATATGACCGAATGATTCATAGCAACTGTATCAGCGTAAGTCACATTCCATTTAGACGTGATCACATTGGAACTGCAGTGGATGGGAACTTGTGGGTCATGTTGGTAAGGGACAAATAAAGTATGTTTGGGTGGGGAAAGTCACTCACTGAGTGCAGCTGCACTAAAATGAGCTCAATTTTAAGGACGCCGTCGTGGAAGCAGTGGGAATCGAGTGGAGAGTCTGTGATTCACACAATACACAAAGCGCTCGTAATTACACTTCCTGTAAATTTCTCACGCTTCCAGCTGCTCCTAATTACGTCATTCCCCTAACCGATCTGTCTTTCATTAGCAGTACAGAGTTGTCAAATAACTATACATGATTCCAAAGTCGTTTCTGCATTCGAAAAACTGTTTTCAAATAAACCTACCTTTCCCAGCGCCGTGCGTTGGTACAGGCTAAAAGAAAAATATTTGCAATAGAGTGAAAACGTCGTAGAGCGTCCAACAGAAAAAAAATATACATCACCTCCCTCGGTGCCATTCAAGTCCTACAGATTTATTTTTGTTTCAATTGAATATATATATATATTTTCAACAAAACGCAATGTGAATATTTTATCTTGTATATACTTCGGAATAAGATCGTTTCAAAACGACCTCCTCTGGGTTTTAGCAACCGGTTATCATACGCAAATTTCTACCACGAATACATTTAACGTATTGGCTACCAGTTTGAATGCACATTCCACCTCTCCGATAACTCAGCTTCAGTTAATGTTTAATGTGGAAAGACCAGGATGTACTGATACTAAGCCTTTAATTAGCCAGAGAGAAAAGTAACGTATGTTTCAATAAGTCCGTGTATGATAGAAGGCTCCAAATTGGAATATCATTGTTTCCTTTGTTGTATTCTGGGCGTAAAATAAAACACACATGTAAATTATCAAGATTTGCCAATATCTTATCTCGGTATCATGCCTTATCTACAAAAAAAAAGGCAATGTACAATTACTAAAGATATGTCTAACAAAGTGAAAAATAGTGTTGTCTTTTGAAGTAAAGTTATCCTTGGTGCTCAATTAAGAGCCGCGTCATAAAAAGGTTTATGCGGAAATATAGCTCCATCCATTCATAACCTCTACACTAGACGGAGGTTAATGGAAACTTAGCCCTGGTGCCCATTGGAGAGGAAGCTGGGTGGGGTGGACGGACGACTGACGAAGAGAAAATTCAAATGTTCCAGCCGGGAATTAAACCTCGGTCGTCCAGCTAGTAAGTCTAAACAATGTACGCTGCTTAGCCCACATAATATGGCAATAAAAAGATTTCAAAGCATCGTTTCTACGTATTCTTCTCAATGAGGTCACACAAAAATGTCGGTAAATGCAGTTTGTTAAATTGTATAAAAATAGTGCTTCATTACTTTAACTTGAAAGCAGTCTACTGACATAAAAAAAAGTGTTTTGTACTCCTGCTAGCTATAAATGAGCTGAAAGTTGACTGAAAAGCATGTCGTTACTGAAGACCGGTTTAGTTATGGTAAATGATCTATGCCGATTATGTGGGTTTAGAGGCCAAGGAAACTGAGAACGAAAGAGTTGTGAAAAGAAACATACACTGCTCAATATAATGCTGCATTATAGTCGAAAGCGCAGATAATTCATGTACGTCACATTGTATTTCCTGAAAGGCACAGAACATCATTGTCCTACTATGAAACTGACATGTCGGAAGGATTGAAAATATCCACACTTTTCATTTTTACTTTGCTACTGAAATTATATTCACCGTAAGAAATAAAAGAGCACTTAGGTTAGAAGTTGTATGACGAACACTTTCGTGAATACACCTTTTTCGCGTACGTGATCGGCGGCCTAGCAACGAGGGTTACCTTGACTTCATTGCCAAGGAGTAGAGTCTGTTGGACAAGGGGAGACCTCATCCAGACTTAATTTTGTTTGTGCCGTACTGTGTGATTGCAGTTGGCAACATTTTAAATGGTACTTTCTGTGTATCATAAAAATTTCCCATCATTCATTGCGCAAACGCAAACCCCACTCCTTAACCATTTACGTCCAAAATACGAGTATAATGGAAATGCAATTTCATAGAAAGATAATCAAACTCTAATTACCGAATACTTGATCTAATTTTTATTAATGGTTTAAATCTACCTGTTTATCCTTAATTTCAGCCTAGTCCTGCTGCGTCAGTACGTTAAGGTCAGTCTGTTATTTTACATCGGAGCTGTTACAAGTTTGGAACAGCTTCTTATTCAATGTGGAGCGTGTTTTATCAACAATAACATTTTTCCTTCAGTATAAACAATAACGAAATACATACAGATACATTTAAACCAGCACACCAGTGCCTGTTCTACCAAGTGCGTTCTTGGTGCTGATTAAAGACCCTGATTTGTGGCATAAGCCCCAGTTTAGTGTCTTGTCTGTTTGTGACGATGGTTGAGTCATCAGACCAGATGGACATTCTCAATTGTCTGAGGACAGAAATAGACGACGTTGTGCTTATGAAACGCACCTTAGTCAATGGGCAATGCCCAGTGTAGTGTTAATGGCAGTGTACTTAAGATTAATTAACAACTGCCCGCTATCAGGGACGGGAACAATAGTTCCATTTGAGGTCGTAGTAGGCCTCAGACGCTTAATCTCACACCATTATTACAATTAACTACCTGAGGGGGGGGGGCATGACATATCTACACAGCTGATCATTATAATGTTGGTCAATATTTACAAATATAATGTACACAAACGTCACGCGCCTGCAGAGGTATTTGGATCCAGATTGAAGCCAGCACAAACGTGATTTGAAATTCTGTGTTCGCACAAGCCGATTGGTATCTTGTTTTTAATTTCTTTTAACTTGATATTATAGATAACGTTGCATGACACAGGTCACAGCTGGAATTAGAAAATAGTGGTTCTTTGATGAATGTGAGAGAAAAGAGAATGTTGGAGAGAGTTGTGATGAGTGACACTATTTTTAATTGGGGGGGGGGAACAGAGACTAATATCCGGCTGTGAAGGTTCCCAGGCAGCACCCGTTCGTCTATCTGGTAAAGGTAGGTTGAAGAGGTAAGGCATTTGGAAGTGGAGATACGTTGAACAGGGCCATACTGTATTCGTATATGATTTTGAATATTGATATTAAGTTTAGGAGGGCAAAATTTAGCTATGCTCGTGCTGGGAGTTTTAAGATTTCTGTCTTCTGGGTTGTTGCGCTGTGCTGTGATGAATATTCATCGCCCTGATGACGGAGGCGGTATGACCTCTGAAACGTTAGTAAACATCGACGAGACTACACAGCGCAACAACCCAGAAGACAGAAATCTTCATACTGGCTGACTTTAGATATCGTCTACTCATTAGAACTCTATATGTATTTTTTTTATTTAAGAAATTCCAGTCTGTGCGTTAAATTTTTAAATTGATGTTCATCAATAAATGATAAACTTATATCAATGGTGTTAGATTTACGAAATAGTTGCCTGTGTCTGGAGGTAGCTTTATGCAGAAGACAAGGTATGTGTGCTTCTTATGTTCATTTTAATCTACTGTCAGTATAAGACTGATTAACTGGTCTAATCTACGATTTCGATATTCACGTAATCGTTTGGAAGTCAGGGTTGTAGTAAACTCGTTTATTTTGATCTTGTCCATTTCTGGAACCACGCTTCTGGAAGGCTTATCGCGTTGTTTCATTTCCTAACCTAAGTTGCCCCGTAGAACAGTGATATTTGTTCCGCGTTATTATAATTTTAAGTTGATACAATGTCATTAACATAAATATTAAAAAGTATAGGCCCAAATATACTTACCTGAGGGACCAAGAGTTGCTGTAGTGTCGACTTGAATAAGAGATCCAGTGTATCGTAGAAAATGATGGATTTTGGAAATAAATGTAAATTGTATTTAACGGGATGGAGTTTTGGCTGTGGTAAGTTTTCCAATTAACCATGTAATACATACTTTGTCAAATTCTCTTTCGATATCTAGGAACAATGTTATAGTACTTAGCTTTGTTAATGTTGAAACCATGATAGATTCGTTCTATATTTTTTTAGCAATGTGTATTGTGAAATGCCCTTTTGGAAGACATACTTGTCGCTCCTTATAATTTGAAACTCCCGAATATTAATACTTAGTCTTTTCAAAGTGATTTTCTAACACAGTTTTCCGAGAAAATTTCGTAAGCTTATTGGTCTGTATAATTCGACGGACAGGCGTTGTCTTTGCCTGGATTCTGGATCAAACTCTTCCCATTGAGCAGGATAATCCTTTTATGATAATGATTTATAAAATATTTTGCCAATAACTTTGAGAACTATCTGCGGTAGGTAGGTAATTTGCTGCCAATTAACTATTCCATACTTGATCTGTAACAGCTGAATCAATTTGCTGATTTGAAGTCTTAATGAGAGGGCCAAATTAATATCGTGGGTTCCAAGCTTACCCCTTTTTTAATGAGAAACTGAATGGAGGCTGCAATTTGTACTGATTTTCCAGCTCTTCTTTTCACTGGAATAAAATAAGTATACCTAACCTAACATAACCTGTCCTTATCGAGAATATACCGCTACAACGGTCTCGCTGTTAGAACACTGGGTATTTAAATAGCTTACGACATAATTTTGGCAAAGTTCCCAGTTGGCTTTACTGAAGATGAGTGTTTGTTTACCTTCGTCTGCTTCTAAAGATTACGCATAGGAAGGACTGCCTTATGTGCGTATTTAATTACTGGAAAGTACATTGATAACAACAGGTCTAGGATATCCGTAGTTACTTTAAAATCCGTATGTAATTAGAAGAGTTTGCCCAACGTTCCATATTTTGAGCTTGCATTGAAGCACCAACAAGTAATAAGTACGTTGCTACCAGTTCCGATTAAGAGGTCCAGGGTCTCATTCTATAATTTTTACAATCAGGTTGCAGTTTAAAATTAAAATTATTTATTGTTATTTGGTTAAATAGCTGTCATTTCCATGCATTACAGGGGAGGGGCAAATGAGTTTCAAAATGTTTGAAATCTTGACACATTTAAATTACTTCTGATTTAACCTGGCAGACTGGTATATTGAGTTTTGTTAAAGAGATGTTGATTTATTAAGGGGTAAAGCGAGGCTGGGGCGTGATGCTGACCACTCACCCCCATCTAGTGACGAGGTCAAGAATGAGTAGGAGTTATACCACCTCTCCCCCTAAACGACCTACATGGCGTGTAGCGGGATGGCTTTACTTTGCTCCTCATTATGTAATTTTCTCCATCCTCCTGTTACTTCCCTTCTCTTATATTCAATATTATATCTACGTTCTTCCCCTCAGAGTGGGAAATGAAGTTTCAAACTCATGTAAAAGAACAGGTAAATTTTAGTTACAAATATTTTAATCTGTAGGTTTTTTAGATATGAAATTGGAAAACTAAAACATTGTGAAGTCAATGCTAACAAGAACCATTCACCAAATTTGATTCGCTCTTAACTTATTCATGCTACAGTAAAATGTTCTTAATCTGAAAATGGGATATTCACCTGCTTCAAAACTTTATTTAAGAAGGAATCCAGCCAAAGTTTCTGGTCTCGACTTCTGCATAAAGCTATGTCACTATCTCAGAAATATCACATTCTTTTGAATATAAATAAATCAGTACATATCAAATGTAATTATCTAATTCAGTATTATGAAATTCTTCTTATATATGCATAATGTACGTACCGTGACAGTTCTAAGTTTGGACATGAGCTTACTACACTTGAAAAGTATGTTTAAATATCACAGCGTCTTAAAATTAATCATGAAGTGTGTTATTTTCAACAGGAAGAAAAGAATTTTATCTGCATACCAATTCTGTAGTAAAATTGATTGACAGAAGATGAACCAGCCCAACTGATCAAGCATCATGATATTGTAAAGACAGTGATATAATTCTAATGATTAAATATATATCAAGAGAAGAACGTAATAAACAGACAGTGAATTTGTTGAATAGATGATTAATATGAATGACAATTAATATCACAAGAAGGTTATGCTTGACAGAGTTAGTTAAGGGAAACCAATTTGGATTTCTTTACAACAAAATATATTTCATATTCAATATTCCCAAAGCAAGTATTAGCAGTATTCATTTTGTATCTTAATTGCGTCATGTTTGTGTTATATCAATACATATATTTATTTTTCCAGTCTATACACAAAACTTGTTTTAAAATAATGTTGTTAAAATTATTTATAACATTTACAATATAAATTGCATTATGTTATATTTTATGGCGCTTTTCTGTGTCGTATAATATTACATTTATCACAGCGCTTTTGATTTTGACGACATGTTTCGATGTTTACCACATCATCATCAGGCTTATCAATTCATATATTTTTAAAAACTATTGAACATTTGGGCATTGCGTTTATAGATTTTTAATTTTCAGTCTTCATCTTGATTTGGAGTATGCATTTTGATGTTCATTATCAGGTTGTATTGTGATGTGTCGGACGTCTGATATCCACAGACGATAAACTGCAACTCTATTCATGTCGTATATTCATTTTTCATCGGCATTTCCATCATGGTGGGATGGAAGAATTTTTCTTATTCAGCCTTTTATTGGATAGAATATAACGTGCTACTGCACTGTCCCTTAACCAGCGCCTTTTCGAGGTTTCTGATCTAATTTTAGACATTTGGTAGGGAGTGATCAGCCCATCGCAAGGCCTCTACCAAATACAAGGGTGAGAAATGGCTGCTCAATTTTTCTTCAGAAACATCTCGTTCATGTTCATAAGGCTCCTTTATATGCTGTAAATTAATGACATGGGACCACCGGCTTTACTTCCCCTCTGAAGGAAGTCATGCTATAGATCAGTGGTCCCCAACGCGGTGCCTGCGGGCACTATGGCACCCGCCAAGTCTTTTTTTGGGTGCTCGCGTTGTTACGGAAAGAGGTTATACTAAATAATGAAAGCCGTTCAACCATGAACATTATAAAATCAAAGCGCAGATCTCGACTTGACGACTGTTTGCGAGCAGCAACATAATCCTACACTCCCAAATTTGAAAAACTGGCCGATGAAATGCAGTGCCAAACATCGCACTAACTCCCCACTTGATTAATAATAATTGTACTTATAAAACTACGTATTTTTGATCGCGTGGTTTCTTGTATCATTAAATGTCTTGTTGCTTTGTGTATTATTTGGTGTCCATATCTTATTTGCCCAGAGAAAAGAAAATTTGGCTTTGTTAATTGGTCGGCGCCCGCCACGATCTCATAAACTCTCAAATGTGCCCGTAGGCACAAAAAGGTTGGGGACCACTGCTGTAGATTTTTATCACCTTTAAAAATCCATCGACCTCAGCCGGGTTTGAACCCGCAAACTTTGGGTCCAGTGACAAGGAAGCTACCACTAGACCACCAAGGATGACCTGAAGACAAGTATTCATCAAGAAAGCTAGTAAATAGGATCAAACTCAAAGACTTTTGAATATGAAGCAAGGGTAATACACTGGTACATGTACAACAGTGATAATTCTTACACACAGTAAATGTAAAGAATATGTTCTACTACTGAAATCATCAAAATCAATTTCAAATTGTCTTACTGATCAGATATAAAAATTTCTAGCCGAGGTGGATCAAATCACTTACCTTGGAGTTGATAAAATTGTACCAAATTAATTGATGTTTGAAGATACATGGGTTAATCATAATTGTAAAATTTACCGAAGTGGTACACAGAGATTGATTTTAGTGACAACTAATTATTCATCTGAATACATGGACATGGTGAAACCATAAATCTATATTAATTTTCCTTACAGAATAATGGAAGAAGGGTGCAAATGATAAAGGTAGAAACCAACAGTATAATCTTCACTACTAGATACCATACTTTTCTTGAAGAGACTCAGATTTACCGAGGGAGATAAGTCCATCATCAGGTACACTATAAAGGCATGTGTGTTTCTTAAAAGGTAAGGACATTTTAGATATTTCTCAGTTTTTAATACACAGCGGTACACTGCTCTTAATTTAAATGGAATATGTCTTTATTGTTGCTGACGTAATGTTCTCACAAAGAGATGGGTTTCACGAGCAGTTGAGGCATGAAACTGCCTCCATCATCAGGGCGATGAGTATGAAGATTTCTGTCTTCTGGGTTGTTGCGCTGTGTAGTCTGGTCGATGTTAACCAACGTTTCAGAGGTCATACTGCCTCCGTCATCAGAGTATGAAGATTTCCGTCTTCTGGGTTGTTGCGCTGTGTAGTCTGATCGATGTTAACCAACGTTTCAGAGGTCATACTGCCTCCATCATCAGGGCGATGAATACACAGTGCAACAACCCAGAAGACAGAAATCTTCATGAAAACTTTAAATTTTCAATAACTGATGCTGGTCTTCTTTCAGACCCGTGAGATATGGTTACCAGTTACCGTCATGTCATATTCCATTATGGTTTCTCTTTGCTGGGCTGCTGAACAATTGTGACTATAAATGGCTTCGGACATTCCAGTCAGAATTGATGGTAGTGTATGCAGATGAATGTAGTGTTTCTGGGGTGAAACTGATAGTTCTCACATGTTTACCCCTGACAGGATCAGGGCTCATAACACGAGATGTAGAAGGCTTCTCAATACCAACTCCATCAACGCCAACTCGGACACAGTCAAAAGAGACGACGATGAGGGGCCTATTTGCAAACTGTAGCTCCAAGTTGATACACACATGTACATTGTTGTTTTGCACCCGGATGTTGTATAGTCGGATGCAAAGGTTAAGCAGGGGTACGCCTGTCCCCACACAAAAGGGGGGAGGATTTCTGGCTGCAAATACAATTATTACATTTAATATTAAGGCTATCATAATTTATGGGTTGGTAAATATAAAAGAATTCATGTTTAGTGATTCTGCACATTACAGTATATTATTGAAATACCCTTGGTTATTCATGAAATGATGGGGAATTTCATGACTAACATAGCATACTAAAATTAAAATTAAATCCATGGCGTAACACCTCCAGAGAGCCAAAGCAAACTAGCTTGACTGCTGGCCTCACGTTCACATGCCTAAGCAGAGGTGAACGATCATCCAACCAGATATAGGGTGACGTGTGGTCAGCACGACAAACCCCCAGCCATTGCTAGCTTTCCTGACCTTATTACGCTACTCATTGTAGCTCCCCAATTTCCTCACGATGCTGGGTTGGCACCGGTCCCATACACTGGTCGAAAGCTCATGAGAAAATTTCTTCTCCCCCGAGACTCGAACCAGCGCGCATTCCGTATCGCCGGTCCAAAACATGATGCCTCAGACCGCGCGGCTACGGCGCGGGACAGCACAGCATACTACTTCTTCATAAAGTTAATTACATATGGCAAGAGAGAAAAAGTAAGAGCTAGTTAGCTCAGTCAGTATAGTTTGATTCCTGATAGGAGTAGAGGATTTTTCATCTAGCGTCTGCGTCCAGACCAATTCTGGGGCCCACCCTGCCTCCCATCCGATGGGTACCAGGGTCCCGGGAGTTAAATGAAGCTGGGTCATGACAATCACCAATCCCATCTAGTATGGAGGTTAAATGGAGGTTAAGATTGAGTAGGAGCCATACCTCCTCTCCCCCCAAGTGCCTACATGTCATATAGTGGGACAGCTTTTAGCTTTAATAGAGAAAATTTAAAAATGAGGAGAACATTTATGGAGAAAAACCTGAAGATAAAAAGACAAAAGGCCCTATTTGATTTGACAAAAGGGACTCTATATTAAGATGGAGAATATTATAAAATTTATATACTGCGAAATTGTGAAATTAATTTTTGGTACAAGCAAAGTTTATAATTGTGATTTACAGTTATGAAAATACTGAGCGATCTGTTGTTACAGCACATTTACCTGACAAGGAGGTATGGTACAGATTGTTGCCATTCAGGAGGACATCTAGATCCACACCAAGTTCTGCCGGAACATATGTCAGCTGGACACATCCTGAGAGCATTAGATTCAAGTATTGCAAAAACTAAAAAATACAGAATCATTTTACACACACACACACACCTCATTAGTTCAATTAATACTAAAAGTCTGATAATTAAAGCTAGACCTGCGACACGAGTGTTCAAATCCATTGCAACGAGGAACACCTGAAACCCGTTAACTCTAGGACAAGAGTAGAAAGGAGTTTACATATATTTCAAACGCATTATTTGGGGTTTCTCATTGGCCCTGACGTTCAATCATTTTAGATTCATATCTGTTGATGTAAAACTACATCACAGATATGCAACATGGAGTTAGAAATTATCTATGATGTTTGAAATTAAAATCTCCAAAACATGGGAAACTGTATTTAACAGTTTTTTTTCCACCTCCCCTGTGACATGCCAAGAAATTATAGACAAATCTCTGTAATCTCTAGCCAATGGAAAAATAAATAAATAACTAAGTACGAGGCGCGTCCACAAAGTAAGTTTCCCACTCGTCCCACAGCTAGCAAACCTTATATTGCGCGAAGCAACTGTGCGTACGTGATAGAGCAATGACGTAGCATGGCGCATGCACTAACGGCACTTCCCGCGCGGACAGCGAGTCTCCTGCAGGAGTTCAGCTGGGAGGTGTTTGATCATTCACCCTACAGCCCGGACCTCGTTCCCAGTGATTTCCATCTTTTCCTACACCTCAAGAAATTCCTGTCCGGTCAGTGTCAGCGTTTTGAGAATGACAGAGAGGCGGAGATGGTTGTCACACAGTGGTTCCAATCCCAGGCGGCAGACTTCTACGACACAGGTATTCAAAAGTTGGTCCCACGGTATGACAAATGTCTCAATTCCGGTGGCGAATATGTTGAAAAATAGCTGGACACTTGCTGTATCTGTTGCAATAAATATTTCCATAAAATTGTGTTTTGTTTCTGTAAACGGCCCCAGGGAAACTTACTTTGTGGACGCGCCTCGTATTTATGTACAGTCACCACAAACTATTCAAACTCTTAGCTGAATTATGTGATTTACTGTACCTTGCTGGTTGAAATACAGAGGTGGGACACTTAGAGTGGCACAACACCCACAGTTGTCGCCCCCACATGAGCACGGCAGTCGTAAAAATTGTGTCCGCTGTTTCAAGACTTGGCTAGTCTGTGTTTGATGTCTCTTGTCTTAAACAAAGTTCAATCGATATGAGTCACCATACAATAAAGACAGAGGCCAACGGCGGAAATTACGATAAAGTACGAGGTTCTCATTTTGGTGAGGACGATGTTGTTGTTCTGGGTTTTGACACTGTGAAGGCTTGCAGGTAGATATCAGTGTTTCAAAGCACTTATAATGCTGGTTACAACAACAAGAGAAATTTTTTAATAAATATCAAATGCTGAAGGAAGACTACGCTAGAAGATGACTGTCTTCTGGGTTGTAGAACCATGTAGTCTTGTAGAAATTTCAATGTTGGTAAACTTCTACCAGACTACACGATGCTACAACCTAGAAGACAGCCATCTTCAGACTCACAGCCGTGAAAACCTCAAACCCTACAAGACTAAACGACAGTGAACAAGAGAGTTTATCATCTGAATGAAATAGGGATCTAGTCAGATAATATAATAAAGGAATCAAATTATAAATGCATGGAGGCACACACAGAATTATGTCAAATGTTTCACAACGTACACACATATAGTGTAGCAAAGGTAAAAAAAAAGTAAATTTATCCCTGGTGCTAAGCACCAAACTATGAAGATGTATGGAGGAGTGGAGGTATAGCTCCATTCCTTCTTGAATTCGATACTAGACAGGAGTGAGTGGTCAGCTTCACAACCCATCTACTACCACCAGGGAAGGAATCCTCATCACCTGCTAGTTGGGAGGTTAGGGTAGCACCAGAGCCTCGCTTTTTCTGGGAATCAAACCCAGTTATCCAGCCTGTAGCCTACAAGAATAATTATTTTAACAGATAATACGTGACTTTTCTGTGGTCAAATTATTTCTTCAAAAGTAAATTTGAATTTGTTTTCAAGATGGGACATAAGTTTTTCTTGAACCATAACCTTTACCCCACCCAGAATTTGTGAGGTTGGGGTATTAACATCTTCTGTGACTCACCCACTTCAAGCTTCCCTGCTCATTTAATTTAATTTTGAACTAGAGCAGCTACAGAAGTACAATCACCTGGTGAATGCCTCTCCAGCTGGCTTCCAAGTGTAACGCTGTGGAGAATGAGTGAAGTTAGCATCAGCTGGGCAGCCTGCAATGAGCAGTTATTATTTCACTTTGTTGTATCCATGGCAGAAACAGTACTGTCCAATCTAGAGTTAAATATTTACAATGACATAAAAGCACTTATTTTGTTTATTAATCAAGCTTTCTAAATTACATACCTTACCTCCAAAAAAAAAAAATAATAAACAGGCATGCCAACTACTGAACTGTATAGTTCGGTTAACAGAGTACTCTATTTATAATCGGTATAAACATGTATTTGTGAACCCGGTAGCTCAGTCAGTATAGTAACAGACTGGGTGATCCCAACAAATGCAAAGGAATTTCTTCTAGCCTCAAACGCCTACTTGGAGGTCACAGTGGCCGCGAGGTCATTGGGACCGTGGGTTCGAATCCCATTCAAGCCATAAGTAACGTACTGTTAAGTTAATTCTTAAGGAAGATCGTCACTGGACATGTATTCCGCACGTAATTAGACAATATCAGAAGATTTACTGAATGTCCATGTAGAACAGATTGTAAACAATCAGGGATGTTAAAAAAAGGCCTACTGATTGTTTTGAAATTTAGCAAGTTTAACTACAAGTTGTATAGGCCTTTAAGAAAAGTTATAATTTTAGCTGCCTTATGTAAGTTATTTATCAAAACATACTACGCCAAGAGGGATACACATTCAAAATGCTGATAATAACCTAACTTATCTTAGAATCATCGTATGATTTTCGTGATTTGATAAAAACTTCTTTTGACATGACGCAAACATATGTTTGTATGGCTTTTTTGTTTTCAATCTGAAAAAAAAACTACTTCAATATCCATAAAGATAATCTATACTTGAGTCATCCTTGATGCTTACACAAGCAGAAATTCCATGTTTTATGTTCCATACGTCGAACAATTGGCCTGACAAAGTAATGTAACTATTAAACGTATTCAGAAATTTTAAAATCAAATAAAGAGTCAAACGACCCTAACTCACATTTCTGGAAACCTTGAGAATCCAGATTGCTATAGACCAGTGGTATTCAACCTGGGGTACGCGAAGACATCTTAGGGGGTACGTGAAATTTAAAAAAAAATTATTTTATGATAAACACTGAATAATCAGTAATGTAATTTATTTAATTTATTTTAGATGTAGATTATATACTATGTATAACTTGAATTATACACCAACAACTTTGGGGGTACAAAGTTGAAGAGAAATTATATCTGGGGGTACGCGAACAAAAAAGGTTGAATACCACTGCTATAGACCACCTTTTATGAACCTGGGGTACACATTACACCCATGGGGTACGTGAGACACATTTTTTAAACGATGGCCTGAAGAGGCTAAAAACCACGTTTTTAAATTTCAATTTCAAAGATTCTTTAAAATTACAAATTATCTGTATGAGTACTGTATGTTGTTATAGTAGTCTACTTGATAAAATGTTTTCTGGCATTTAGACCAGAATTTTTAACTTTCTCTCCTACCTGAAACTCTGACTCATTCTAAGGGAAAACGAGTATTTGATAAGTAAAGCGCGAAAGAATGTATTACGTGAAGTTACGTAGGTAATTACATAATTAGATCTTCACCTGATATTGACAGGGAGATTATTTAAAAATAATACGTCATAGCACACATGCAGAAAATTATAAATGCACACAAACAATATTTTAATTATAAGTCAAGGGAAGAAACGACTTGGGACACACATTTGTAGATGGTAGGGCGATATTAAAATAGACAGTAGGAAAATAGTGTAAAGATGAGTGTTTTGTCAGCTAGTTCAAAACAAGGTCTAATGAAACATGATCTGTCCTTCTGAGCCATTTTCATGTGGCAACACACGTAAACAGTTTCTTTTTAAGACACCCCAAATCATGTTATTGTGAAGTTGCGCGCGCATGCGTAACTATCTTGTTTTTTTATTTCTTGTTTAGAGAAGAAGTGGACTAAGAAACTAGAAAGTTTAAATAAGCTAAGAAAAGTACGTAACAGTTATAAAGAATTATGAAAGATGTTGATCCTGAAACGCAAACTTTAGAAGAAACGATACAAAACCAAGCTGACTGGTTTAAACATCGCGGAAGCTAAATTTAAATGAGATGTAGACTTACCTTAACCATCATGGCGTGCTGCTGACATAGGACTAAATTATGACAGGAAGCCAAAAGGTCCTTGTGGAACATACCGGTGTACCAGAACGCGATCAGCATGCCTGAGTGGTCATTAAAATAGCTGTACTGTTATTCATTCAGTAATGGGTCTCATTTGCCCACGTATCGGGATTAATAGTCCACGCGAAGCAATTGTTAATGGGCGTACGTGTATAATGTTTCGTACAGAATTTGGGTGAATCAGGGAATTTATAGGTTATGGTTGACATATACAGCTTGGTAAAGATCGTGTTTGTATGGCTTCCTGCAATATTAAATTAAAATATGAGTCAATTTCAGTAAAATTTGCATCTCAATGGTAATGTTTTATCATTGTTAGCTGTTTTCATCAACTATTTTCTTCTCAAGTTTACTTTTCTGTCCTTGTTTTATTACCTAGTTTCTCTGTTCTAATTTAATTGAACGTTATGCTATTAAAGGCCAGTCCCTTATAATTTAACTTCATACGTCTGTAACAGCAGAATGGTTAACGTTAAAATTTCTGAGGTGGGAGTGGCACTAGTGCCAGGTTCTGAAATGACGTATGGTATTGTAGGTTATGTTTGAAAAGTATTAAGATTTTTAACAATTTTAGGAAACATACGAAGTGCATGACAATTCTTGAAGATCTGTCAGAATTTGATATTTGCAGATGACGCCAGTGACGTCAAAATTTGGGTCAACGATCTTTGCATGGGCAAGTATAGTCTAGCAGTCTAGACATAACTTGACGGATGATTCCTATGCGGATCCCAATGTAAAGTGTCCCTGATTACTGAAACATTTTACACAAATTGGAATGTGTGGACAAACTGTAGTAAAACAATGAAATACAGAACTTACACGGGGAGTTCCTCCAGTTATGGTGTTCGGTGTGGAGGTAAGGACTCTCCATCGTAAACAAATATCGTGATGAAATATTATATAGATTCGCGTTTGAGGCATCTTCAAAGGTCACCACACCACAGATGTGGCATACATCTGTATCAACAATCATGGCGCATAGGAGAAAGCGTTACTGCCTATTTGCTTAAACTGGCTGACATTGATAACTTAATGGCCAATTTTTGCTCGAAACTGTATAATTCGTTCCAGTCACGAATTTCTGTGACACAGCAAACACTCGTTGGTCACCGACATGATTTTCGACAATGAGACCATTCTGTGACGAGGTATCTGTCGGGGGAGAGGGGAATAATTATGTTTCATCATTACTCAATACAAGAAAATTACATTGATGACAGTGCTAGATCATTATTACCAGAGGTTCCCAAACTTTTATACCTTGCGGCCCCCTTAAAACATTTCATAAATTTCACGCCCTCCCCCCTTCCAGAACAAGTGCAAGCAAACAGATTTGACATAAAAATTTAGCTTTGAGTAAGACAACTGAACTACCTCAACCAAGCAAAGGATATTAAAAATGTTTCTCCATATTTTGTTAAAAAAAGTTTTTCATACAAACACCACTCGCCCCCCCAGGGGGGCGCGCCCCACACTTTTGGAACCTCTGGCCTAATTACTCTCTTGAATATGTTCATAACTATTTTCAATGGCGATCGATATATTTAGCGTTCTTTGCCTCTGCACGCTATATGAAGGACTTTATAAACATCTAAACTTTCACAGAGGTGTAAACAATGCCCAGAAAAAAATCAGGTACACGCATCCCTTCGTAACTAAACCCATAAATTAGTCCTTTCACCCAGACCAGGTATCAATCATAAACCAATATGCGTGCGTGTGTTTTTTTCCAAATTCAAATTACGAAAGATAAGATAGTCTTTTTTTTTCTAACTATAACGTGGGAATATACTTCTTACAAAAAAAATCGAGGTACACAGCAATAGCTAATTCAGTTGATTTGCGGTTCAATTATGTTGTCATAGTGAGAAACTACAGCCAATTAGGTACACAATGCGAAAACTATCACAAATAAAACATTTCCTACTTTATGTATTTTCCAACATTCATACATAACCTCACCAGGACCAAATCGAAAAAAAGAAAATTATCACAATTACGCTTTAACAAAACTCCGTTGTCATTTCGTATGACGATAATAGTTATTCTGATATCAGAAAACGCGGCTTGTTAATAGCGTCACTAGTTGATAACAGAACTATCAGCTTCATGAAGAATATCAAACCAAGACGCAGGACGATTCTTACTGATAACATTTGTAAAGACGCATATGGATCACAACCTGATATTCAAAATTGTTCAAACAAAAGCGGTTTCAAATATGGTGTTTCACTAGTGCGTAATCTTGTTAGAGAAAACTACTTTGTAAGATAACATATTATTCTATTTACGATAGCATGTTTTTATAAACTGCCGTTAACCCTTTGAAGCCGAAGATCGTCTGAATATTATTTATGAATTCAGTCCGTACCGCGAAGAAAACACTACACCTCACCATTACGAAAATCAGCTGGTTAACCCTTTGAAGCCGAAGCTCGTCTTCATAATATTTACGAATCCAGACCGTACCGCGAAGAAAACACTTCACTTAACCATTAGAAGTCGAATCAGGCGGTACCACATAAGATTTAACAAAAGAACATCCCGGTCAAAGCCTTAAGTTTAAACAAATCTACTTCATTACCTTGTTGCCCGAATCGATTACGCAGTCCTAGGTCTGGAAGAAGCTGTGATCTATTAATCAGCTACAATTCTAAGTCTAAAACATGTAATTTATCGATTTACCAACCTAACCATAAGAAAAAATTATTTTCGGATTATAAGCACACTATTCGCTAGAAAAGTTTATATTGCTTCCTAAAGTTACCAACTGGGTGGGAAAATGTGCCAGCACAAAAAGATCTATTCTCATTCGCACCACACCTTGCCAACCTTCTAGATTAAAAGTACAATATCCATGCGTTGGTCATCGTATGATAGTCTCAATGTTTGCATAGTTACCGCACTTCAGAGATTACATGAAGTGGAATGTATTCTCGTTGAGTGCGACGGTCGTCTTGCTGAATGACCATGGTGGCCAACAGGTGGTTCTGATCACGAACTTCGCACGTGTTCAGATACGATTTGCTGAGATGGTCGGCTATCGCTTTCAATAACCTCACAAACTGCGTTATCTTCATTCGGGGTTACGAATGCCGACAAAAATATGTGTACATATTGCAAGAAAGTGATGCATGCAACGTCATCAAACACCAAAAGTCGCGGGAAAGTGGTTACCACTCTTGCTTCGTATTTGGGTGGTGTCGGGTTAAAATCTCGGTCAGCAGTTCCCGTGGTTTTCTCGGGTAAATTCCAGGAGGGCACCGCTTCCTGACGTATCCCTTATATGGCATTCATATTATGACCTACTGACATAGTCGCCCTCGGTGGACTAGTGGTTGTGGTTAGCGTGCTTGCCACTGGACCCAAAGGTTCGCGGGTTCAATTGCGGCCGAGGTCGATGGTTTTTTTTAGGGCGGTAAAAATCGGTAGCACAACTTCCTTCGGAGGTGAAGTCCCATGTCGTATATTTACGGCATGTAAAAGAATCTTACGAGCATGATACGAGATGTTTCGTAAGCAAAATTCAGCGGCCATTTCTCACCCAAAAAGTCTCCTGAATAACTGCTAGATGGCTCTGGCAGTCAAATCAGGATTGAGTAGAAATTGCGCAGTCAGTCACTCACCACTTCAAGCACGACGAAGACCAAGTAACCTCCGTAAAGAAGGCGGCGAGAACCCACAACATGATTGTAGTGCCGAGAAACAACTGACATAGTCGTTAAACAAACAACAAATAAAAGAACGTTGACAGAAAAAACATTAAAATGGATATTTACAAACAAAAATGTTAGAACACAACACTCATTGCGAGCCATTAATGCGACAGAACCTTTGGGTAGGCATAACATCAACAAATAGACATTGCCTAGGCTTTGGCTTCCGTAGTAGCTCGTAATACGAAGTTGTAACAAAGAAACAGTATAACGACCTGGCCTTGAAAAATAAACCCGTTCAACGCGATAAAGTACCGGTTCAATAACTACTTAAAAGCAGAGTCAGACTGACAGGCTAGCCGCTAATAGTTTTAAAGTGCCAGAGTCAGATTTACAGCAAATTAATTGTGATGGACGTCTCTCAAACAGATAACATGAGATTTCAAGTTCGATTGTTCATCAGGCACGTTACTGTCCCAAAGTTCACTGAACGTTGCCTATTTTAAACATATTATCCAATCTGTAGCATGATAACGCTATCGATTACAAAACATAAACTGTAAGGACTTGGTTATTTAAGATGGCATATTATCCATAAAGTTGTATCGTACCGCATGATAAACAAATACTTCAATATTAGTGCTCCTTGCCTTTGTATTTCCAAACCAACGTCACAAGAGCCTATTGTCAACATTAAATATATATATTTTTAATATTCCTTGTTATATGTTTCCAGCATTTATGGCCATAATCAGTGAATCCAACATATTATAACTAACTAGATGGCTTATGGAACCCGAAGGTTCATCACCGAATTAACCAAAGCCCTGTCCTTGGCCAACAAAATCCAGTCTCTTTCAACTCCTATCTCCCATAGATCCCGCCTGAGATTATCATCCCATCTACATCTAGGTCTTTCCAGAGGTCTCTTCCCCTCAGGCTTCCCGACCAGTACGTGGCACACACCTCTCGTCATGCTTTTCTTGCTGGTATTAAGAAGTTTGTGTTTGTTACTGTAATATAAGTAAATAATATATACCTTCTGTTTTATCCAGTTTATTTTTTCTCCCAGATCCTTTATCAGCCCATAATGTACCAACCCAGACACCAGTCTCAACTGTTTTGCTGGTAATTTTTAACCATGATGACTTTAACATTTCTTATTGAAATTTGCATGTTGAAGGCTGCACATCCCAGCATATAAAAGATGTCCCACTATAAGCCATGTAGGCACTTCGGGGGAGAGGTGGTATAGCTCCTACTCATTCTTAACCTCGGTACTAGATGGGGTGAGCGGTCAGCATCACGCCCCGGCCGCGCTTTACCCCTGGGAGAGGACCACGGTACACATCGGATAGGAGGCTGGGTGGGCCCTAGAGCCGGTCTGGACGCTGAGGTTAGAGGAAAAATCCTCTGCCCCCCCCATACCCAGTCACTATACTGACTGAGCTATGCCGGCTCATCGTCCGAGCATATAACGGTAGCAAATTGAATAAAATGTGAAATTATGTCTTTGTTTGATTTCTTCCTTAAATTTACTCCCAATCAGTCATGTTGAACTGTAAGGTTATTGACTTCCTAACTAGTTATCAAATAGTACACGCAAAGCTAATAAAAGACTTGATCAAACAATAAAGTTTAAAAAATACAGCTACTTTTTCATACATAACAGTTACTTTTATGTGATTACCTCATGAAGTGAAAGTTTAAAGGCGAAGACTTTATCATTCATAAGAGAAAGCAATGCGGTTGCATGGAAGCATTAATTTAAATAAACCGACAGCTGATTAGTATATATAGCGTGGCTATGAAGCAGCATGCAACACCAAAGCAAATAGTTGAAACGCATTATAAAAACAGAATGAGGCAACACAGAAACATGTGAAAATGTAGTCATGCTATTCTATATTATTAACAATTCAATTGGTTATCTAATTAACCGCACGAATAATCTTCAGGTCAAGTAAAATTGATAATAAAAAACACACCTTGTATTCATATTTCAAAGATACGTAGCTAGTTGACAGGTCATGCAAGCTTGTGTTATATTATAAAAAGAGGTAAGAAAGAAAAAACACAAACTTGTGAAAATGTTGCTACTGAGCTACACAATTCTAACAACACTGCTGCTGGTTGCTGTTCACAGTAAGAAGGTTAACAGCAATCCAGGTAATGACTTCGTCAATATTTCTGGCATATATACCGATGTACGAGTCTGGCTTGCGAGTCCGGCTCGGCTCGGGTTCCATCGAGCCAAACTCGTTTGTGGGTGGGGTGTCACGAGCCGAGTCTGCTATGCGTGTGTGGTGAAATATATCCGAGCCCGGCTCACGAGTCAAGCTCGCCGAGCCAGACTCGTACGTGGATAGGCCACTTTAGTTTACTAATACTTAGTAATAACTGGAGAGCTCATTTGTATTTAAACTGAACACAGGAGCAGCAGACTTTCATCAATAATCATATTATCACAGCACACAATACATCATTCTAACTAAAACTACCAACTTACCAAAAATACACGGAGAGTACAAAATAACAAAATACTTTCAAAAATTATACAGAAAACAAATGCGGTGTACTTAGAATTTCACGCCCATACCAATCAACAGAAAAACGCTCAGTTTTATTGCACATGACCCAGGTAATTGTTCTCATTGTGCTCCTCCATTAGATGTCACTAGTTTTGAAAATTGCTGCCCCACAACAAAGGAACTGGTGTGTTCTGTAGTTAGTGAAGAAAGTCTGTAACAGCTGTGCAATGTGCATTTTGCAATTTCACATAGAACCACCCAACTGACTATCCTCTGCTGCAATATCTGCGAGAGTTGAGGCAGCAAATCACGATTACCATAGTCAGGTTTATTGAGTTTTTGTACTTTTAGACTTATAACATATATTTAAATATAAGTCTAATGGTTATTGCAGAAATCAGTTGATTTGTAGGCAGTTTGTATTCTTAAGGTACCGGAGCCAAAGTTACAAAGCATTATTCCCGCACCATGTGGCTCAACGTGTCGTTGAATCTCCCTAAGCGTGAGGCCACCGGCGGCTCACACGGTATAGAAATTATTCGTAAGATTTTATATCGAGGTCGGAGTCAGTACATTTTTACCGACTTCGATTCCACCTAAAATTGCTTCTGACTCTGACTCCGACTCCACAGCCCTGGATTTCTATGGCAGTAAAAACTGAGAATTGCATTATTGTGGGTTATGGTACTGTCTACTTGTTTACTAAGTATTATATACATATAAAATACTTAGTAAACAATATACATAATATACATTTTAATATTATATACATATTTCATTATGATCTTTCTACAATCTTTTCAAGAGGGGACTATGAGTCACAGAGAGCCCATATGACAATGTAAACTTGTAATGTGCTAGACACAGAATCTTGCAAGCTTAATCTAGTTTTTTTTATAATTAAGTATTTTAATACTGTTTTAAAATTTCTACAGCTCCAAGTAATATTGCATTTATAATAATGGTGTGGGATGTAAGAATATTTATGGCTTGGTCACAGCTCTGTCACTGGTTCAAATTTTTCCAATCTATGAATATTTTTATCACAATAATCTTAATTATTGTCATTAGTCAAACATTTTTCAGGTAAACCCTTGAAAAGTAATATAACTGAGACCAGGCCTTAAGAACTAACTCCACAGATGCATATAACTCTAAATTTGTACGCAAAATAAACAATACCACATATTTCAGTCATTCAATATGAAAAATAAAAGAGACGGCCTTAAAGGACACCTGTGTACTATGCATACGTATGCAGTGGGAATAAATTTGATATTCTTGGAACTTTTACTACTAATATTTGAAATTTAATTTCAAGATTCGAGATTTATTTCAAGATAACTTAACCTCAACGCAAAATAATTAAACTAATTAAAAGTAACTGTTAAATTTGGGTAATCAAAATATACTTATATATGCACATTGGCAATTTAGAAAAGCTCTTGCTTATTATTTAAAATTTTTTTTTTTTCAGATGAAGAAAGGCAAATGACAGATGAGATTTTACACGAGTTAAAACTTTTTGACAACAGTCGACTGCTCACAAATCAACTCTTCTCCATAATGAGAAAATTACCTTTGGCCTCGCTGTTTAGTTTTTTACCCACTCATAAAGGGATTGTAATATATGACTGGACAATCTGTACTGCATGTTATTCAGTAATCGAAGCTCTGCTGATATACTCACAAAGCCATTCACATCAGGATCTCCGCAACCTTATATATTCAATGTGTATTAACCTTGAAACACACAGTGATGAAATATGTGCTGGCGTTATTGACTTGAACACGGTAATTGAAATCCATTTAGAACATCTGTATTACCATTTCCGATAGGCTATGACAAGACCATGCCATGCCTCAGACTGTTAAGAAAATAATGCTTGAAATATTTATAAGATATACAGGATGAGTCAAAAGCATATTTACAAACTTTGTGTGCGTGTTCCTGGATCAAAAATAATAAAAAATGTTCCTATGAGCATGGGATCGCAAATGTTTACTTTTCAAAATAATAGCCAAAAATAAGTTTCAACGTATGCCTTTATTGCCAAATATAAGGACAGGGATGTTTCTTTATAACAGACGTTCAAAGGTTGTTCCTCCATTCTCCACAAATGCATGAGCACGACGTACACAAGACTGACGAATTCGTTCGTACCCACCAGGGTTTCCTTGAATCATCTGGCATGCATTCTGCACACGTTCTCATAGGTCGTCTTCATTGTTTATGGGTGTTGCATAAATGACGGACTCCAAGTGACCCCACAGATAAAAGTCGAATGGAGTCAGGTCCAGTGACCTCGGTGGCCATGCTACTGGGCCACCGCGTCCAATCCATCCCTGAGGGTACTGTTCATTGAGATGATCTCTGACATGACAGGAAAAATGTGTTGGGGCTCCGTTGTGCACAAACATTTGCCTTCTTGTATTCAGTTGTACATCTTCAGGCGTGGCAAGTGTCTTCTTAAGAATCACCGATATGAAGGTCCTCTTAGACGCGATGGAAGCATGTGTGGACCAATAAGCATGTCGCCAACATTTCCTGCCCAAACGTTAATTGAAAATCTTTGCTGGAAGCTGGATTCACTTTGACATAAAGTCAACTCATTTAAACTTATTTTTGGCTATTATTTCGAAAATGAAACATTTGCGACCCCATATTCATAGGATGTTTTTTATTTATGATCCTAGAACACACACATGAAATAAATAATTTTGACAGAATACGAAAAACGGAAAGTTATCTATACATATAAACTATCCATACTCATGAGCATTTTAAACAGCAGATGTTATTTGTAATAATTTAACACATTCTACAGGAAACAATAGCCTATATACTTAACAACACTAAAGGACTCACTTCTAGTCGAATATGTGGAATTGTATTCCAAGGCAGTGGGTGTTCAGAAGACGAGCCTAGTCTTGAATGGACTGTCAATGTTGACCCTGGACCCAAGCCACAAGCCAACAGAGAAAACAACAGGAGGACAGATGTAAGAGACATCTTATACATAAAACTCTCTATTCAGATGAAACCATTATAACCATAAGACTGCAACCTATATTTACTAAAAACAAGTACACACCTAATTTCAGGTATTTTATATAATTTCTTTCTACTCCAGAAAAGACTTAGAGGCATTACTTAGTAAAGTCTGAAAAGGAAATTGGGTTTCTACCTTGTAGTTGCACAATGATGCCTTTTCAGCAACTCCTGCGGAAATAACTGGCTAGAACTTACAGATATGTGCCACTATCCATCCTCCATAAACTAAATTTATATTCCTCCCCCAGTATTGTCAGGGTGATTAAGTCGAGAAGAATGAGATGGGCGGGGCATGTAGCGCGCATGGATGGGACAAGAGGTGTGCACCGGGTATTGGTTGGGAAGCCTCAGGGGAAGAGACCGCTGGGGAGACCTAGACGTAGATGGGAGGACAATCTCAGGCGGGATCTATGGGAGATAGGAGTTGAAGGAGATTGGATTTTGTTGGCCCAGGACAGGGTCCGGTGGAGGGCTTTGGTTGATTCGATGATGAACCTTCGGGTTCCGTAAGCCATCTGGTTGGTTGGGTCCACTATTTGGGAAGCCTGAGGGGAAGAGACCTCTTGAGTGACCTAGACGTAGATGGGAGGATAATCTCAGGCGGGATCTATGGGAGATAGGAGTTGAAGGAGATTGGATTTTGTTGGCCCAGGACAGGGTCCGGTGGAGGGCTTTGGTTAATTCGGTGATGAACCTTCGGGTTCCGTAAGCCATCTGGTTGGTTGGGTCCACTATTGGGGAAGCCTGAGGGGAAGAGACCCCTGGGGAGACCTAGACGTAGATGGGAGGATAATCTCAGGCGGGATCTATGGGAGATAGGAGTTGAAGGAGACTGGAT